CGTTTTCTTCGGGACTCCTAGATGGTACTATTCCCGCAAATTGGATCTTGGGAGTCACCTGCTCGCAAGTCTTTATGAATCCAATGTGGGCAACTTTGAATCTGGCAAAGGCGCTCGCGGGTCCCATTCCCTTTGACAAGTTATATAAATTCTTTGGCGGCAATTGGTTCAGCTGCAGTAGTACGAAGGAAGATTCATATTTTCAACAAGCGGTCAATCAGCTGTTGAGATTCTATCCGGATAAGAGGTGTGAGATTTGTAATAACGTTTCGTGTCATCGCTGTTCGTTGATTTTCGGTCGGTATGTATTTTCCCTGTCCCTCAATCACACTTTTCTTTTTCAACGATATTGAATTGAAATTGAATCTTGAGATAAAACACAACGCTAATCAAAATAACCTCCCAGTCTCTGGAACCACAACAACCTCAACGAAGCCACCCATCGTCAAATTGACCGTTTCTTTTCCGGCGTCAACATGACCTGTCTCAACCTCCTCATGAAAATGGGCACCATTGGGCACGTCACCGGCAACGCACCACTCTTCCACCCACTCACCTCATCTAAAAACATCCGTCGTCTCAAAGGTATCCCCTTCTTCCTCTTCTCCGGCTCGGACAACAAAGTCCTGAATCCGGAAAGCACGACCAAGACGCTGGAGATTCTGAGGGATGAAAATGGTGGCGGGACAGAGTTTGAAATGTATGAACGCACGGAGATTAGGGGGTATGGACATTTGGATTGTTGGATGGGCAGGGAGGCGTATAAGGACGTGTATCCGGAAGTCAGGGAGCGCGTGGATAGGGTGTGTAGGGGACGTGAGTATAGGTTTGAGGGGAGTGTGGAGGGGAAGAAGCGGATCTAGGGGGAGGGAGCTAGGGGTTAGAGGTTAGAGGTTGGATTTTGGATTTTGGATGGAGAAATATGAATGGGAAGTTGTTAAATGAAACATTATGAGAGCAACGTATGCTGTATGTAGTATTAGTATTAGAATTGGCATTGGCATTAGATTTGGGAATGGGATTAGGATTAAGACTGGCTCCGGATTTTGATATGTAGCACGAGGGATGAGGAGTTTAGGCGATGATTTTGTGGAGTTTGTGTCTAGGGATTTAGATTGGATCGGTGGTTAGCTCGGCTCAGATAGGATAGGATAGGATAGAATAGAATAGGATACGGTCTTGATGGATTCTTCTGCTCTTCTTCTTCTTCTCTTCCCCCGTTCGCTCACCTCCTTTCTCCTAAACCATCCATGATATCATGTCTTATCATTTTATACACAAATTACAATGTACAAATTACAATGCAGCGAATTCGCTTCTTGGGTATACTGTAGATGTGGAATCTCGATATAAGATTACATGGATAGAAAAATTCTCGACTATAAGTATAATTAGTTAGGTAGTGATCCCTTCAACTTCTCAACTTCTGAACTGCCATTATCAATCTTCATTTGATGTACTAATATGCACTTGAACACATGTCGTTCAGATTTTACTGTCTACAAATTTTAAACCCCAATAAACCAGATATCAAGAGCAGCCGAACGAAAATTGTAAGAAGGGGAAGAATAGGAATGAAGGAAGGAAACCTCTCGAAAACTCACTCCAACATTGCAAACAGCCTGGACTACTGAATGATCTGGACTAATTTTTTTCAATACAATCCATAGGCAAATTTCAATTTGTAAAAATCAACTTCATTTCATTTCTTGCCATCAATCCCATGGTCAACCCTATCCCATTCCCTATTCCATGAACTCATTAATTCTATGGCCCTGATCCGACATGAACCCATTAAATTCATTTGCTATTTTCTCAATCCCATCCCGTGGATCCAATATCTATTTTTGATTATTTCGTTATTTCATTTATGTCATCCTCTACTTTCCTCTCACCCCTCAATCTCTCCTTAGACCACTTCTCTATCCCACCTTCATCTTCCTCAACTACCAGTCTCGAAACACTCCCGAAGAGGAATAAGAAATGAAGTGAATCCAGGAAAAGAAAAGCCTTCAAATCCCTCTTCGAAAAATCGAAAGAACTTCTCACAATCTATCTAAGCAAGACACCAACGATCAGTCAAGGAACAAGGAAAATATTTTCTGCTAAAGGCTAGGTTTCCATCGCGATCAACTTTATTCTTTCCAAGTGCCTGATGTGGATATTAAAAGAGAAGGAAGTAGAGAGGTAAGAGATCAAAATAGGGAAACTACTTTTGTTGAGGAGGAGCATTAGCAAAGGTAACACCCTTGGAGATGTTACCCTTAAGACCATCGACGCAGGCAGCCAAAAGTTTCTTTTCGGCGTCGTTAATGTTGGAGAGAGGGTTTTGAGCTTTTTCGGCACCGTTTGTCTTAATGATAGTTAGTTTCTTAAACTCGACTTCACTGCGAGGTGGAGATAAACTTACGCCAAGCTCAACAGGAACAGAAAAGAAATCGAGACCAGTCTCCTTGGCAATAGCCTCACCACCTGGAACTCCTGGGAGGTAGACGAAAGTTGGCTCGACAATACCCTTCTCACCGTTCAAGGCCTTGAGAACCTTCTCGGCGAAACTATTATCTGGTCAGTAAACTCTGTATAGTTTTAGATTTCCAAACATACCGGAAACCAGCGTAAGCCATAGAAAGAGTAGCTGATCCAGCACCATCCTTAGCCTTGACGACTTCATCACCCCCAAATTGAACTCTGTTAACCAAAGCATCCAACTTGTCAGCTGGGATATCAACACTTGGCTTGGCTTGGCTGAAAAGTGGAACAATGGTCTCTCCAGAGTGTCCACCAATAACTGGGATGCTCAATTCTTGTGGGTTTGCCTTTCCGACAATTTCAGCGACGAAGGTCTCAGCTCTAACAACATCAAGGGTAGTGACACCGAAAAGACGTTGAGCATCAAAGACTCCCTTAGACTTGAGAACCTCGGCGGCAATTGGGACAGTAGAGTTGACTGGGTTGGAGATGATAAGGATATAGGCTTTTGGGGCAACATCGGCGATGATCTCGATAAGACCCTTGACGATACCAGCATTGATGTTGAAGAGATCATCACGGGTCATTCCTGGCTTGCGGGGAATTCCAGCTGGAATGACAATAATATCGGCGTTCTTGAATGCCAATTTGGCACCATCGTCTTTTGGCAAGTATCCGGTGATTTTCTGTGTGGATAGCACAGATTAGCACGTGTAGCATTGCTTTGCTCCTAACACTTCTAGACTCATCCCATCTCTTCAGATTGTATACGTACAGCTGGGCTCGAGATGTGCGAAAGATCAGCGGCAACACCAGGGGTGTTGACAACATCGTAAAGTGCCAACTCGGTGATGAGAGGAGAAGTCTTGAGGAGAAGAGACAATGGCTATAAGTGACACGATAACAAATCAGCAGACTTTTCAATAGATGACTCTCCTCTCTATTCCACCCAGAAGATCCAAACCAAGTGAACAAAACTCACCTGTCCGATTCCTCCGGAAGCACCAGCGACGACTATCCCTCAAATCAGTATCTTTGCCATCTCAATATCGCATAATCAAGATGCCTACCAGCTTTGAAACCCATTTTGTATATGTGTGTTTTGGTAATGAGGTAATGAGGTATTGAGGTTATTGAGGTTATTGAGGTATGTGAGTGTGAGTTGTAAGTTGTAAGTTGTAAGTTGTAAGTTGTAAGTTCTGTCCAGCCAAAGAATTATTATTAGTACTTCGCGCCAAACACTCAGCTCATACCAATACCCCGCATCGCCCATCCAACAAATTGGACCCCTCAACAACTCAAATCCACTCACCCATCCACCCATCCACTCATCCATCCAATCTTCTCTATTAATTCATCCCTCACTTCCTTTCTTATCAATCCTTTCTCAACCCTTCTTCAACACTCGCCTGAATAGAAATCTATACACACCTCGGGCAATTCAATCAATATCAAGGCTTTTGATTTTCCTTTGATTTTCTTTCAATCTCCTTTCAATCTCCTTTCAATCTTCCTTCAATTTACCCTTTCCAAAGAAGAACAGCGAACAAGTCAGTCTTTATTATTCTCAACTCTCAAGTCGGTGAAGTGGTGGAGAGCTTAAAAAGGGTCAGAACTTATTAGAAGCTCAAACAGTGTGGGTGATTTGGTTGGTTCTGCTTTGGTTGGCTGGAGGGGTAAAAAGTAGAAAGGGTGCTTGCTTATAGCGGGGCAATTCTTCCAATCCCCCTTCCTCATTGGATTGCTTTGGGGTCGCAATAGGGAACTCGGGTCTTACCTTGTTACACCTGGGCAGTCGTGCGTTTCTTGGGACTTCTTGGGACTTCTTGGGACTTCTTGGGACCTCTCGGTATGACCTACCGTGGATAGATGCTGATGAGTGATGAATAAGTGATAAATAAGTGATAAACACGTGTAAAGTAATGACGATGTATCAATTCCAATTCGAGCATCATTGATGCTTTATATAAAAGAGCTCTCTTCTCCGGTCTCTACCCTTCAGTAGGAACGTAACCTTGGGTAAGTCTGGGGAAATGCCTATCCAATTGTCTACTGACCGAGGCATTAATTAATTCCCTTCGGCTCGGAAATCTACGGACGCGTGCGTCTATCTACTGTCAAACTGCTTTCAAGAGACATGTGCATTTTCAGGGGAGAGAGCTCTACGAGTTGTTCCGGCCATCATATTCACATGTCCATATATCGCACTTGGAGCTTGGGAATGGGATGAGTACTCTTCCGTTGTGGATTGTGATGCCGATAGCTTGAGCCTTCCTTCCGCTTGTAAACATTCAATCGACTCCACCATCTAGTCTCACAATCACTTCATAACCATCACTTGATACTCCATCCAGATTTCCAAAAGCCATCATGATGCAACCGATTCATTGAAAACTAGTTTGTATGTCTGTCTCAAATGTCATAAAATAGACCACTCCACTCATTAAGAGTACCTGAGGAACCAGACTAGACCCAACCAATTGAACAATAATCAATTCCCCCTTTCCCCAACCATCTCAAATGGGTATCCTTTACTCTTCCTTCTCGGCAGCCTTGGCGGCCTTGGATCCTCTAAGCTTTGGTGCTGGGGCATCTTTCTTGGGGGTTTGGGATTCGAGGATAGCGGAGGAACGGGCGACGGCTTCAGCACGGAGGTCTGATCTGTATCCACCTTGGGCGACGGTCTTTGCGACACCAGCGAAGGTCCTATTTTTAGGAAAAGTTTCATCAGTATCAATTTTCATTCCTGGATTCGACGAGGTTCCATAATTGGATTAAACGTACTTTCTGCCGGACTTGCTGTAGGTGGTCTTGTTCAAGCTGGATGCTGGCTTTTGGCTGGCAGAGGTCTTCTTGGTGATCAAAGTAACACCCTTCTCAGATGGGACAACACCGACGGCCTATTCATAGATTTAATTAGTACCACTCATTGCATTTCGATTCCTCCATTTGCTTATGCCATCGGGGGATCGTGTTCGTATCGTACCTTGTCGTTGACGAAACCAGCATACTACAATTCAATTAGCCTTTGTTCTTATTCAAGTTTCTGCGGTCAAAATTGCTGTGATCTTCCCGATAATTCCATACCTTTCTGGAGTGCTTGTTGGTCAAGTTCAAGGGATCTCTGGAGAAGGTGCTTCCACCACCAGTTGAGCGCTTGACCAAGAAAGCGTTCTGGGATCCTAGAATTCCATAACCATCAGTAATTGTCCATCAGTATTCGATTCTCCTTCGATCTTCGTAATGTCTCGATGTTCGAAATGTACTTCAACGACCCCCTCTCGAGTCCTTTTCACTCCCCTCACGTCCTTTCAACCTTCGACCCCAAATCCCAAATTCCATCCCTCAGCATTCCAAAAATGAAAACAGGTAAACGTACTGGTAACCTCCCAGATCAAATCAGCGGAAACGTATTGAGACATCTTGACGGGTGGGTGAGTGAGAATTGAGGAAATTCTTTTGGTCGTTGGCGGTAGTCGAAATTATGTCTAAGTCTCAAGATCTTGTCGCAAAATCGTTAAAATTCACGAATCACTGAATTTGTGCGTCCAATCAGATTTCGTCTCGCTTATCCTATTTTAGTCTTTTGTCTTTCGGCCTGTTCTTGATCCTGGATGCCTTAAAGCTGACTCATTGGGCCTTAGTATATAAGGCATGAAGAAAGGTATTCATCACTTTTCCAAGCTCGAGCCAAGACTCAATCGCATGCGGAAAGGTGGCTGTGAGGTTTTGGACGGTTACAGAAATTCAATACAATCAAATTAACTATTCGGATGAGGCGGGCATCAACTGGTGAGCTGACGTCTTCTAAGGTTGTTTCTAAAAGCGAGGTTATCGCCAGATTCTTTTCTTCCTTTCTCTTAATGAATACCTATTCTACCCAAATTATTTTCCTTTCTTCTGTTACCCATCATCTAACACCTTTGCGACTACGAATACGATTGGCTGAAAAGAGACTTAGAGATCGAGGTCGAGGATTCTACAACTGTTAAACAACTGCGCATGAGATTGAAAGGGTTCCAGCGACAATAAAGGTCAAGATGGCATACATACTCTATACAACCGTCTTCATTTTCCTCGTTATCTCTACTAGTAAGTCTTACTTCCCCAGGATAAACTATTTGAGACAATCAAATTACTAACACCATTCCAGTCGCCTTTGTAACCCGCGATCGCTGGTCTCCATACATCCCCGAACATTACCTCGAGCGTCTCCCCCGATTCATGTACACACCCTATCACGCACTTCCCCATTCCTTCGAAAACGACATTGAGTCTGGTTTAACCTCTTCAAACTTCAATCTCTCTCAAAATCTCCTAGACTCGGATCCAAGGAATGGACTTTCAGATAATGGAAAAAGAGAGATTCAGTCAATCATGAAGAAAAAGAAGGTTCATTTCGATGAGGCGAGGAGACTGTGGATGCAGGAAAGTTTCAAGAGAGAAAATATTGGACCGGATGGGAAGCCGAGGGATCCAAAGTTTGTGAGCTTTTCGTGAAGAAAGAGGGAGATTAGACATAGATATACATTCTTCCATGAACAAGCTTGTTTGGCCAAACATACGATGCGAAGGACTGTCTTATCGAGGGTTTTCATTCCAATATGGTTAAATCCCAAATTCTGGAGAAGACTAGACATTAGGAGAGAGATAAAGAACGGGAGAGGACAGGTAATTGGATTGGAATACGGATCGGCGATATATACCCAGGAAGAACGAGCAGGATAAGCCGGAAAGGACTTGGACGGAGATGGGGATCTGGGAGGCACGGAAAGTATTTGATTTTTTAGCGACGGACTTGAATTGGTACTGGATGTCATCAAGCAAGTGAAAATGGCGTTTTGAGGTTTCGAATCTAGTAACATAGTTTTCCAAGAATCACTAAGTGCCAGTACAAAGGCACATTTCCTTTTCACTCCTACAATACTTTCTTTCGTTAATTTTTTCTTTTCTTGTTTCATTTGTCAATATCGATATCATTATTTATAAGAAGAAGAAGAAGAGGGTTATAATACCCACTTGTGTGTAAATTATTATAGGGGAAAGAGGTCGTTCCATCTTTTTATATGTTGTTCTATGTCCTTAACAATACAGATTTTAAAATCTGACAGCGAGTTCTTGATGAAAAGGAGTTGTTAATATTGAGCATTCGCAAGACCCAAAACACTACTTGCCTACCAAACCACCGTCCCTAAGATTTCGAAGATCAAAAGTTATAATAAGTACCAGATAGCCAACTCTGCTATCCATTCCCTTCCATATCTAATGTCCATAATCCGGCTATCAGTCAATTCCTAAGAAAGAAATCTTCCTCGTGAAATATCCCCTCCCCCCAATCTAATCAAGATCAGGAGTAAATAAAATTAGCTGCTACGAATATATACAATGAGATACGAGCTGAGTATTACGAGGAAAAGTGAAAGAAGAGAGTAGATTGAGATAAGGCTTGTTGCAGAGGGTTTTATATGTTGTCTTTTGGAATGGAAGACCTACGATTTCTTTTGTTGCATGTCTAGGAAAGACTTTTTGTTGTTTTTATAATTGACGAGTTTATGATAGGAGAGGAGTGGGTAGGTGGTGAGTAGTAGTAGTTTTTTGTTGTATATCTAGGAAGTGCGGTTGTTGTTCTTAGGGTTATTGGATATTCAGCAGTAGGCGAGTGCTAGGTAGGTAGTGAGTCATAGTGTTTGGTTGCATATCTAAGGGAAATGGGTTGTTATTTTTATTGTTATCGAAGGCTTTCCATATATTTCTAGAGAGCAAGGTAGTCTTTTGTTGCACATCTAGGAAGTGCGGTTTGTTATTCTTATGGTTATTGAGAGTGTTCGGTCCTCTACAGTACATATACCTAGTACTCTTGGTAGAGTGAAATAGTCATTTGTTGTACATCTCAGAAAGGCAGTTTGTTATTTGTCTAATCATCAAGTGCTCAATATTTCCTACGTTATTGAAAGAGTGATGAAGTGCTGGACATGTTCCTTTGTTGCACATCTGAAAATGAACGAATGTTATTTTTATAATTATGGCCAGCTTGAATGACTGACATGATTCGTGATGTGAAAATGGATGGCCAAAATCTCGGGGAAGGGGAACGAGGAAATGAAAAATGAAATCATCGAGTTATTTGGGGAACTTGGTTATAAAGGCTATCTACTCCGGGGTTGGAGAGAAACCTGATGTTTTTATATACCCTCAACCTCGCCTCCCTTTCTTGTGCATTCAGAGTGCGAGAAAGAGAAAATATCATAAGAAGATAGGATGGATGGGAAATTAAGACATGAGTGCAGGTAGCAATTGACTCTGCCTGTACTATATAGCAATGCAATATGACGTTCTGCAAGTATATGTCATTTAACGTACGTGAGTTCTCATAATTGCATCTGGCTACGAAGTGCCTCCTTTAGGGGCCGTCTCTCTTGCTAATCCTCCACAATAAAACCCCACGATCTTAATAATGTGAATGCTTCTGGGCAATCTGCAGTGTCCCTATTGCCTGGAATCGCGCCGATGTCGTCCACAGCGGGATATGTCTACTTCCATAACCCTGAAGTTTCCTAGCTTTACCACCCCTTTCCTATGACTCCTTGCTGATCATTATCTGATTCGAATCCGTACCATGCCTTGCCATCTCGCTAAATCGCAAATCGCTAAGTCGCAAATATTAGTGTACTGTGATGTACATTGTGGTATGGTATATCTTTATTTTTCTCTTCCTCTCTTGGCATTCGGCTCTGGGTAGTTGTGTATACTAGGGATTCTAAAGCCCATTACTTCTTCATATTACAGCTGGCCGATCTGTTGTGTGGTTCTGACAGCAACAGCAGAGTTTATTGTAATTCTTCCAATAATCCAAGTATAATCATCATTTCCCCGTGGTAGTATTAACAATACTCTTAATCTGGAATGTAGCACCCGGCAATTCAGTTGTTTCCGCTTGAACAGTAGCATTTATACCCATTGAAGCGAGAGCTCCACGAATTATGCCGCAGGGGAAGTATAGGAACTGAATGATTAAGTGTTAGCTCATTGCCTTGTGGATTTCGGGGGCATGTGTGAAGAAGCAAGGGATACTAACAGGTTGAGCGCGTATAACTGCATTTCCGCCTGGCTCTGTACTCATGCGCGCAAAGGGCCGGAATGAATGGTCTGTCAGGACGTAGACTCCCTGTTCCTCCAAATCAGTATCAATTCACCTGTGCCAACCAAACCATCATCCGTAGCACCCAGAAAAGAGAGAAAATACCCTATGGTTCGTTTTCAGATTATCAATCTGTTTCCTAAAAACCAACATCCACAAATCCTTACACAGAAACTTGATAACATCCAATGTATCTGTAAAGCGAGGTCGATCTTTACTAAATCGCTCCACGAGACCCAATCCAACACGATATCCGAGACTTTCGAGACGGAAAAATACTCGTTCGCGTTCTTCTTCTTCTTCCATTTTTGGAGGCGCCGATGGATTGGGAGAGGAAGATGAGGGTGAAGAAGGCGCATCTAGTGCGTGTACAGTACGGTAGGCCAAAGGAACGAGTTCGATAAGGAGGAGGTCCAGACAAGAGGCATTGAGGAAGGTGGCCGTGGGATCGGAGGCATTATAGGGCGGAAGAGGCGATTCGAAGGACATTTTTATGAACTGTTAATAGTAGGCCAAGGTACAAGTGATTCGGTGTGACTTGTTTTGGTTTGCGCAAGGAGGATGGAGAGTTGAGTAGATGTGGTGATTGCAAGGATTGTGTGAGAATAAGGTAAATTGTAAAAAAACACTTTGGGGTCGAAAACTTGCGAGAATCAGTGTATGTTCGGTAATCGTAAATGTAGAGAGAGTATGAGTGACGAGGTGGTGAGGTTGCAGAGGATTGCTATGTGATTGAGTAGCTTACTGAAGGGGATGATGCTTTTGCTGTGATTCGGCTAGAACATCGGTAAGGTTACGGTTCGCAAAATAATATTTCCGCGCCGCAATTTCAGAATTTTGGACGAACATCATATAAATCATACCAGTGAACTTCTCAACGATTATTCTTCAATTCTATCTTGTGAGATATGAATAGTTCGAAGTTCACTCAGACGCTACAAGATGTGGAATCTGACAACCTATCTATCGATGTCCAAGTAGCAACACCAACTGACAGCTGTGGTCAGATATCCCATATGCAGACTTTTTAGTGAAGGGAGAAAGTTCTACCCACCCCAAGAAAATGTCTTGCCTGAGATTCTAGCTACGTCGTACGAAATGTACTTGATACACGTATCACTGCAATAGGTATAATTATACTTAGCCGGTCAGATTGATCCTGACTCAATTTAGCAGCGCAAGTTGACTGCGTATGGTCCAGTCTCACATCAATATTATTCATCAACCTCTCTTATGTAACTGGTATAAATACGAAGATCTTCAAGTCGCAATTCCAATGGTTCAGAAGCTGGCCTTCTCAAGATCAACGACCCAGTGAAACTCTTGAAAACAAATTGGGGATTTGATAGGCTGCGCACAAATTATCTGTACCCGTGGATTATCTGCAGATAATCTGTTCTATAAGTTATTCGTTAGAGGTTCTATTTGTTCTATAGATTATTTGTTAAGGCTTTAAAATTACTTATTTTATATAGATAATCTATAGATTATCTACAAATAATCTATTTACTTATAAATAGATGGATTATTTATGAATATATAGATTATTTGTAAATAATTTACAAATTATTTATAAATAATTCGTGAATATATAGATTCTTTGTTTTTTTCGTTTAAAATATAAAGCTATTCCTAGATTATTTTTTAGTTCAAAAGTGATCTAAGCTTAAATTTATATTAATTTTTATATTAATTATAAAATTATATTAATATTATAAAAGATTATAAATAGTTATATAATATACGAATAGATGATTATCTATAGGTAATTTGTACCCATCCTACAGGTTACTCATTCAGATTTTTGAATTATCCACTCTGCGATGGATAATCCGTGAGTGTTACGGAAGCTGCCTCTAAAGTCATATAAAAATATCTAAAGATCTTTCAAAATGATTTAGATTAAACTTCAAATAGGAATTCAATAAGATTGTAATTAATTATAATTCTTATAATTATAATAATGAAATTAATAATTATTCTCTTAAGTATAAAGCTTTACATTATAATGAAATCCTATTCCTTATATAGATCTTTGTTCTTTAATATTGATTTAAAGTTTCTTAAAATCCTGGCTCCTAAGAACCTTCTTAAAACCCTAGCTCTTGAGAACTCCATTATGTGACACTGGTTATATGGCATTCTACTATCCATTGTAACAGTGGATTACCCATCGAGGCCATTATCCGCCCTGCGGGTACCCGTTGCGCAGCCTAGGAGTTGAACTTATTGTCAAATCTCTGGAAGAGGTCCACCGTTTTCTAAATAGGGAATATAACAATAAAGAAACAGGCCTCAAGGCGTGAAGAAGATGTTCAAAAAGGATGTGATTCTGAGGATGATCGGATTGCAGGAGAAACTGAAGAATTTGGTAGTGAAGATCAAGTGGTACAAGAATCACGAACACGATTCAGAGGTGATCAACAGGTCCGAAACGAAAAGCCCGAGTCCTCAAGAGGTTGGGATCATACTAGGAAGATAAGAGAGCTTGGTAGTCAAGAGATTGATTGTTGTGGGATAGAGTACATACGATCGGAATTGATATTAAGCGATGTGTGAAATCAAGTCGATTTCGTAATTTCAATCAATTTCTTTGTAACATGAATGGAGCGATATCAACCTCGAAGCTCCAAAAGTAAACTCAATCTCTGCTTGTAGGATTCCAAATGCGAAGTTATCGACCGTACAGTTTATTGGTCTCCTATAGTTCCACTACACGCAGATTGACTTATCCGAGCATTCAAGTAGATACGGATGTATCTGCTCGAGAATGTTTAATGGAGTGGCGCATATCATCAATTTAAATCTTCAACACTTCTTTACTGTGCCTTAAGGGACATCATGTCATAAAGTATAGTGCCCTGTAATTTTGGAGCGCGAATAGACCCCAACCCCGGTTGTATGTGATTGATCAGCAAATATCAAATGTACCCGAGAAGTATCCGTCCACCTGATATCAACGAGAGATATAAGTCTTCGATTGAAGGCCTCTATTCTCCGACTCAGATTGACTCAATATATTATATATTACACCTTAGTCACTTACACAATGGGGGTTTCCAAGGACGCTACTAGGATTGCAACAGAAGCGTTGGTTCTCGAGGTATATATACCTCCCCTATTTGTGGCTTCCTCCGGCTACTTAAAATCGTTAACGAACTTAACAGTTTCATGCAACAGCCGATTCCCTGACTACTGATGGTCTCGAGAAGTTCTATAATAAGAATGCTATACTAAGATTTGGGAATGAAGAGGAAGTGAAAGGATTGGATGGAATCAGAAAAGTATTATCACTCTTTATTATACAGGTTACAAACTGCATCTTGATCATCAATCTCACTAAAAGTGCATATAGTTCTTCGAGGGTGTCTTTCCTCTGCTTGAAAGCATGAAACATGAGCTTGTCGATGTTGGTATGTAATCTCGTTTCAAGTAATAGTAATTAACTTGTAGTATTTAATGTGTGCCAAATCGAATCGGAAACAAAATCTACCAATCTGTTTTCATTACTTATGTGGTTAAGAATGATCCAGAAGAGAGGCAAATTAGGATACTAGTCTTGGGAAAAATGTTTCTCATAGAGAATGGAGAGGAGAAGGGAAAGATGTCGAGGTTTGAGGTATTTGGAAATCCCTCGGAAGTGTTCGCGAGGATAGAAGAAATTCGTAAAATGGAGTGAAGCGATTGAGAGAAATGTGTTGCATTTTAACATCAGACAAGATTCATCTTTGCATCGCACCACCATAATAGTCAAGGAAGGAACGTCTATGACGATGTGGGCGGGGCTACATATTATTTCATGATAAGATCCACTAAATCTTCTATTGCTCATGATATTAGTATTTTTGATTCGTTAGCTTTCCCATAACTAGATAACATCTACCACCAAGGCTATCATATAATTTCTCTTTCTCGTATTTCCCCTTACTTCATCTCCACGGCACATCTACCACCTTTCACAAAATCTTGCAAATAACCTCACCTCATTTTCTTTATTTCTTCTGGGCCATAAACTTCCGATTCTCTTAAAGGTTTCACCATGATTAGCATTTCCAAGCCTTTTAACACACATGAGATATAGATAGTGCACAATCGCATTCGGCACACTTGAAACAAGCAAGTCTTTATTTTTTGCGCCATATTCTAACAAATGTTCAAAATATCTGCGAACTTATTAGTGGACCGCCGTCTCTCCAGAAGATTTCCTACCCATTGGCAGATATCGATATTCTCTAGCAGTTTACATCTAGATTTCAAAAACTTCTGACACTAGACACTTCCTCAAGAACTTAAGAGCATCATGGCCACCCCTTTGGGAGAGTCATACGAACGTTTCTCTGTTCGTCTAACACATTCCGATAATAAGAAATCGCAACACTTGGATGAGTATATGGAAGTTGGCAAGAGAGACCCAGAAACAGGACAACTTACGCAGTTCATCTTTTCAAAAGAAGAAAACTTTGGTCTGGAAATCATCCTGAAAGAAGGCTTCAATCATGGATATTATGATGGCGTTATAGTGAAGCTGTCAGATGTTCATTTTGGGGATGTTATTTGGCAGAAGAAATACCCAAAGTCCAATGTGAAGGAGCCGAGTAAACAAGATTAGAAAATTCTGATTGCTTTTATTAACTAAGTCGACCACCCTACTTTCGAGCCACCCCTGTTTTGAGCCACCTTTTTACACCAAAAATCGCTTTTTTGGCCTATTTTTATCTCTATTAATATATAATCTAATTTAATAAAAATTTAAATATAACGTAACTTATAGTGAACCGGGTCATATGGGGAACCGGGTTACAAAATTCAATTCTCTTTATATGATTTTGTTCTATAAGCTATATATTTATTCAATTTTAATTCTAAATTACTTGAACTATTTTCTAACTTTTCTTTTTCAATCTTTTTTTTAATTCTTTAATTGAATGTTTATATGATCATTCTTATAGCTTTTTCTTCTTAGATTTTTTCTTTACTTTATATATCATTTTTAATATTTTCTTATTATTAAAGATAAATTGACCTTGTAATTTGATTCTTTTATTTTTAATTCTTTTCTTTTAAGTTTCAATTACCTTTTGAATATTAGCAAATTATTTCCAAAATAGGACTATCTCAGCATTTTGAGATTCTATAAGTCTAATCATTTTTTTAGTATATTGACGAATTAGTAATATAAGAGAATCATTATTTACTAGAGCTTTATTAAAAATCTGATTTGCTTGCCTTAATTCTGTCCCATTTGGAGAAGAGCTCCTAAGTATAGATAAGTCTAGATCTTAATTGGAGGTTTTCATTTGTAGAGTAGAAGGTTGCTAGAAGGAGTTAAATAATAATGAATTGAGTACTTTTTGTAGGGCAAAAGGTATTAAATTAGCTCCTCTTTAGCCAACTTTAATATTAGAAGAATTCAATGCTTTTTTCCTAATATTTTGAAAGAGTTCTATTCATTCAGCTTTTTGGATTTGCTTTATACTAGCTCGAGAATATCGATTAATTTTTAAAGTATGATATTGTTTTATTAGCTTATATACTACAATATCAAATAATTGAAGCAAATGAAAGTAATGAAAAGGTAATATAAATAAATCGATATTTTTCTCTATATAAAAAGCAATAAAGCTGCTTGTAATATAATTTGAATGGTTATTTATGATTAAAAGTCGAGATCGGTTATCTAATACTTTTTTGAATTCTAATTCGAAAACCCTTTTTAATCATTCTAATTCATAATTATTTGAGGTCTATTTATTCGTATTAATAAAGAACTACTAGCTTTAAAGTGTATCCTTTGGAATCTATACAGAATTCGTATTTTGAGCCTTGAAAATGACCATAGGTAATAGAGTCTTTCCAATTATATTAATATATTCAAATATAGTTATTCATTCTTACTTACTAACTATAACTTTCTAATTCGATTTCTGAGTAGAATTGACTATAATATATATACTTTAAGTACTTTCAATTCCAAATCTGGTTTCGTTTATATTATATATATCATCTAATTTATACTTTCGTTTAATGAAACATATATAAAATGCATCAAATTAAACCTGAATATTCTCTGATATTACCTTTTTAGTCTAATTAGATTCTAATTAATATGAGTAGCATATTTTAAGTTCTGGATATTGTTTTTGGAATCTATAGATTCATTCGTAGCCTATAAATAGAATTTCTATCGAGATAGGAATTCGAAATGACGCAACCTAAACATATCGAAGACGAATTTCGTTGACTATTTCTTTTATTAATATAAATATAATAAGGAATTTAGTAATAATAAGTTATAAAATTTATTATACAAGAGTATTTTCTTTTATGTTTGAAAGAATTTGAGCTATTTCATAGGATTGAATATGTAATTTCCTTCCAGCAATTCTAACTATAAGAATTAACTTAGAAACTTCAAAATACTCTATAGTCTTTCTAATTGATTTAAATTCCTTTAATTGAAATATAATAATAATATTCTGTATCTTTTCTTCAATTTGAGAAGATATAAAAGGTGATTCGATATATATAGCAAAATTTGTTGAGGTTTGAAGTCAATAATGAGCTAAATATGACCCGGTTCCTCATATGATCTGATTCACTATAAGTTACGTTATATAATTTAAGTTATTTTAGGTTTATGTTACGGGAGCTGCCTCTAGGGTCACGTGGAAGTGTCTAGAGATCTCTTGAGGTGGTTTAGACTAAACTTCAAGTAGGAATTCAATAAGGTTGTAATTGATTGTAATTCTTGTAACTATAGTAATAAAACTAATAATTATTCTTTTAAACACGAAGCTCTACATTATAATGAAATTCCATTCCTTATATAGATCTTCGTTTTCTGATATTAATTTGAAGTTTCTTGGAGTTCTAGCTCCCAAGGACCTCCTTGAAGCCCTGGCTCCTGAGAACTCTACTATGTGACACTGGTCACATGGCATTCTGTTATCCATCGTAACAGTTTATTCTGAAATTTTTAGATTTTTAGGATTTTTTTGTATAGAAATCTAAAGCTTTAAAATATCGATTTTTTAATTTGTATAAGAATTACATATAACGTGTTTTATTAATGAATAAATTATATCAATAAGTGGATTACTTTCACCTTAATTCATTCTCTTCTTTTTCAACATATGTTTTATTAATAACATATAATAAATTCGAATACTTAAGAAGCCTATATACTCCTTATTATTAAAGCTATTTAAAAAAATAAAAAAATAAGTATTCGAAAAGCTGTAAAGATATATAATATCCCGAATATAATACTATAGTATAAAATCAATAATTCTATTCCTTGTTTCAAATATTAATCTAAATTTAATAATCTTTTAGAATTAGAAGAGAATATTATTTCTGAATATATAAGAGGATTTCTACTCAAATTAAGAAATGTAGAAAATATAACGAATCATATTCTCGAATTAAGAAATACAAAGTATATTAAGAAGCTTTAATATTATAGGAGCTGCCTTTAGGATTATGTAGAAGTATTTAGAGATCTCTCGAAATAGTTTAAACTAAACTTCAAGTAGGAATTTAATAAGATTATAATTAATTATAATTCTCATAATTATAGTAATAAAACTAATGATTGTTCTTAAGTATAAAGCTCTATATTATAATGAAACCTATTCTTTATATAGACCTTTGTACTAAAGTCAACCAATAAGTCGATTAACAAATCGATCGATAAATCAATCGGCTTTTGATTATATAACATTTATTCTGTGATTCTTATTATCCTAACTTGTCCTTTTGTTCTAAGGCTAATCCTCTGGGATATTACTAATTTTAATGAAGTCTTTTTGCTTACTATATTCTGTTTTTCCTAGGACCTATTGTCCTGGGAACTATGTTTTAGGTTTCTAGGATATTCTATGACTAATATTATATACATGCCTGAGGCTCTCCTTGAGTGTTTAATATCCCCTAGTATACTACAGCTGAATCACTGAGGCCTATAATATCATTATAGCCTATAAGTCAGTGATTCTACAGCCTGTTACTAATCCGTTGTAACATTTAAGTATATCGATTTGTAAAACATTGAATCGAATTAAAAATATATTTTAATTATATTTATAACTTTCAAAAAACTTTTTATAAAGATTTTAAGCTTATTAAAGAGTAGTTTTAATTGATTATGAATATACAAGTGAAATACAATATTTTGAATAGCGATTTCTATAATTTCAATGAAACAGGCTTTATAATAAATGTAATATATTCTAGAATAATAATAATTAGTATTGAACGAAATGATAGAAGTAAGATAATACAATTAGGTAATAGAGAATAGATTATAGTAATTATATATAGTAATAAGAAGAATAAAACTATATTCTCATTTTTAATGATTTAAGGATAAGTTTATCTTTCTAATTAATATATCGAAATCGATTTTCTTATAGATTGAGCTATTAAATCTATATCTAATAGATGAACAAATAATGAAATAGGTTTAGAATAATTGAAACATTTCGATAAGTATATTAAGAATTGAAGAAAGGGTAGGTATTGAATATTAGTATTAAATAAATATGAAAACTATAAATTAAAAGCTTTTCAAATATATTATAAAAAGAATAATATTATATATTTAAATTTACTATTGTATTCAAGTTATTTAATTCAATTATTTGATATAGATTGTTTTAGTAATCTAAAATATTTATATGGTAATCAAATTGATAGATTTATTAAGATATATATTAATTATATTTCAAAGATTGAATTCTTTATAGCTTTTAAAACTATATATAAAGAATTAATCATTTCTCAGAATATAAAATCAAGGTTTTGAGGAATAGATTTAATTCTATTTAATTCTAAAACTATATTTTCGAAATTAGATATTCGAATTTGTACACCTATTTTCTCTCTTTCAATCTAAATCAATAAATCTTTTAAACTTTTTATAATCTAATTGAAGCTCTTTCTTAATCAACATTAGTTAAATCTTGAATAATTTGTTATCAATCAAGCTCTTTTATATCTATATTCGAGATTATATTAGCTTTAGCTAAAGGTATAAAAAAATTAGCTTATAAAAATATATTTTTGAATATAGAGATTTGTATACTTTAAATAGTAAATGAGGTATTAAGTAAACATCGATATATATAAAAAACTCAATTGTATTAAAAAGGAATACTTACTGAACAAAAAGCTCTTAATATATTATCTCAATAAAAAATTGATATTCAAATTCAATATAACGAGTATTAAAAAGGAAAGAATTCTAATAAAGAAATATTTTCTAGTTAATACTATAATAAATATAAAAAAACTGAATATAATACAAGAACTTGTCAAAATAATATAATAAATCTTAGATTATTAAAATCTTTATAATTTCAATCAATTGATTTTATTATTATTAAATAATATAATTTTAAATAAATGAATTGAAATAAAAGTGATCCACTCACTAATATAACCCACTCACTAATAAAACATATTAAATTTAAAACTTTTATAAATCTTTAATAACTTTTTAATAACAATTATTAAAAGAAAACTATATATCTTTTTGAAAGTTTTGAACTTAAATCTATATAGAAATTCAAAAAAAAATTCAAAAAAATTAACAGATATAGAGATATAATATATAGTGAGTTTAAAGTAATATAAATAATCCCTACAATTTTGAAGGTATTCTTTTAAATATCTATTTATAAAAAGTTTTCTAATTTTTTTTTTATCTTTTAAAGTAAATATATTATAAACTTATAATAAAACTTTTTAGTTTATTTTTAATAATTTTTAATAAAAATTTATTAAAGATTTTATAAAAGTTTTAAATTTATATATAATTCCCATACAAATTAAAAAATCGATATTTTAAAGCTCTAAATCTCAATACAAAAAAATCCTAAAAATCTAAAAATTTCAGATTAGATTTAAAACAATCTGACTTATATATATATAAGTTTTTAATAAATTTTATCTATAAATAAGAAAGTTAAAAATTTCATTTTTGGTATAAAAAGTGACTCAAAAGGGGGATGGCCTGAAAGTAGGGTACCCGACTTACTCAATAATCGATGGGAAATTGAGGTCGAAAGTTTTTATGAATTTGGGACCACTAGTACTAGGTATGTGCTATATCCTCAATATGCAACTACTGATCTAAAACGAATGGAAGATGATTTCCTCAAGCCTGGAGCCAATGAAACTTGTCGCTACCGCCGTATGCTGTAAGGACTCTGCATTAGTATATGCAAGTACAAGGGAGCTGGCGATATTGTATTGACCAAGGAAGAATTTGACCCAAAGCTCAAAGAACATGCGTTGAAGTTAGAGAGCTATGCTAGAACTGATGGCAAAGGTTCTTTAGATGCTCCGAAAAGGACTCTTGTCCATCGTAACGTATACCAAAAACACAACATTACACACAAGTTGAGGTGAGTTTTCATTTGAGTCAGTGGTGATGTATATACTAAATACCCTCTCAGATTAGTAGATGGAATGGCAGTCCCAAACGAAGACATTGAAAAATACCTGACCCCTCCAACAAATATTAAAAAGCTTTTCAGGTACAGTGATACACAGAATTTCTATTCCTTATGGCGTGGTGAGAGTAAGTGACGCAGATCCATGAACTAAAAATTTTGACCGACGAAACCAGAGTTTTTTGATACCACGGCTATAGCCAGGCCCCTATTGCTCTAATTCGACAACCTTGGGATTCTTTGACGCCCAGAGAACGAGAGAAAGCATATGGAGAGCTTTCGGTGAGCTTTTTCTCAATTTCATGTCTAAGTGATGTACTAAACTTTTACCAGAAATATGATTTCCAACAAATTTGGTCCCATCATCTTAAAGAACTTGGTCCGAAGCCTACCCAAGTAGCTACCGATGCACTGAAAAATCAACTTCGTGAAAACCTACCAGATTACTGGCGCTCGTGGCATAAGTCGTACTCGTATGAACTTCCGAGAGCATTTAAAATGTTGCAGGTATGTTGCAACAATAAATAACATGTGCACGGCCTCAAACTTACCTGATAATAGGAGAGGCGTCGATTTCTTGATAGGGGAGAAATTCCAGAACATGTAGACAGTATTAGCAAGTCTGAGGAAGCTCCCATAAAATTGAAGAATGCACCAAAAAAACTGGAGAAGCCTTCTGAGAAGATACACATTCCATCTTTCACACACCTTCGTTGGTCTGCATCTTTAGAATCAGTAGCATCCTCGCCTAAACTAGCAATAGCCCCGATGTATGAATCAGAGATCCCTGCTCAATCGAAACCTGCTCAAACTGTGGCAGGCATGAGTTCAGTAGTGAAAAGGTCTACAAAGACTGAATCATCAGGAGCCTCAATTTTAGGTCGTGTCTCTGCCTCAATTACCGGTGTACTCGGGTATGACAACGAAAAAGTCCTCTATCTAGAATGTGGAAAGGATTTCGTTAACCATCAAGCGTTTCTTGACCATTTTAAACACGCTCACAGCCGTAATTTCGGAGATCTCAATCAAGCTATGATGGATGAAATGAGTCCTAATACGGTTTCAGATAGCCTTCCCCTTGTATTGGCAAATACAAGAGGCACGGAGCCAATGAACACAACAAGTAGTAGGCTGACACTACCACGCTCTCTCCTGAGGTACCTGCTCCAAATAGTCTTAATACCTCTTCATCCACAAGCTCCCATGTCGAGCATGAGGCTAACAATTATCTCACCAAACCCGCAACCAACACATCTTCCAATTCCAAGTCAAGCTCGACAAGATGTTCGATTCCTCAATCATTCACCAAGCCTATCCTCAAGGCACCAAAACGGCCAGCCGGAGTTGCGGATATGTCTGGATCGAAGCGACCATCTTCGAAAATGAGACGGGTCATGGGATATATGAAGGGCGAAGGGACGATGCATTATAGTCTACTTGCCATTGAACAGGCAATAAGTTGAGCCCAGTATGTGTCAAATCTTCTGTTTCTGAAAGAGACAACTTGACGGATCCCATGGATCTTGATAATCCCCGGATGATTGTAGTAGCCGATCCAGCAGAGTCTGGTGCCGGATCAACCAGCTTCCTCACCACTGTTGTTTCTTCTTCACTTCAAACTGCTTCACTCTCAGTTTCGTCGAGTGAAAAAGCTCGAGGTACCTCAGATTGCATCATCCTCTACCTCTGAGGCACTTCCAGTGCTTCCTCCTCCTTCAATCCCTGAACCATCATCCGTAAATACCTCAAGCACCAACTTATCAATGATTAATTGTTCCGATTCACATATCATTCCTGCTTTGGATACAATGAATATCGAAAATTGTCAGATAAAATTAGCCCGACTGTCCAGGAGGTGGATACTTCTGCCGAGCTGCCAGCTGCTGTTAAACTAGACATTGAAACTCCATCTGACATCGAGCCTTCCACTAGACTAGGCGCCAGTATGCCCACAATCATCACTGAGACGACCGCCTCCTCAGTAATTCCAGTCATCGACCTTGACACACACATGGGTTTCTTCCCCCGCTTCCACTAAAGCCTACTCATCTATCCCCTCCTATGTCTCAACAATTAAATCCGAGACCGACACGGATAAGAAGCCACAATTGAAAGTTGAAGAAGATCTAAAAATTTCAGAGGCAGAAATAAAGAGTAGTGAAGAGGAAGTAAGGAGACGGGAGACAGAACATGAGGATGCGATAAGAATTGCTGAGGCGAGAATGGAATTGCATAAAGTTAGGAGAAAGATTGAAACATTGAGGTCGGGAAATTTGTGAATTGTGGGGAAACAAGTAGTTTCTATGGGTTAGAATCTCGAGACTGAACGGAGGGGTATGCTTGAGGGGCACTATTACCAGATTTGGGAGCTAGTACTCCTTGTCTTGTCATGATAACTTTGTTTGTATTCTTCGACCTATTGTTGGTACATGATTTTTCTCAAATTCCCGATAGGCATTTTCTGAAATTATTTGATCATAGGGTTCCAGATATTTTAGGGGCAGTCACTTGACATGAATTAATAGGATTGAAAAAGTGATTTGGTTCAGATAATCATAGTTCAGGAAACACAATTTCCATGATGAGATCGTTGAGCTCATGAATTTGACGAACCATTGTTCGGTTGGTAAAGGGGAGGCAATTCCCCATCCAAATGCCGATACAGCCCGGGTGACGTATCGTAGTTCCGAAATAACGTCAATACGCTAAATTCAACCAATCACGTGATGGAGCGAATTATCAATGGAAACATCACCTGAAGCAACATGAATGTCCAACGGCATGGTACGGCGAGGATGTGATTACCGTACTCGTCAAGCATAAATAGTATTTTAGAATTTCTCTCGATGCAATAACAGACACCACATCATTCACTCCTAATCTACATCTTAATAATGCTGCGAAAAATTGGGCTTTTCAAGCCTTCAGGGATTCTTTCACGAATTAACGTTACACCAATTCGACGTCCGTTGAATGCAAGAAGTTTTCGATCTAGAGTTCTTACAAACTACAATCATGATGCTTCACAAGAGATTAATATTGAGCCGCCTCCGCCTCCCCAACCAAACCCTCCAGTTAAATCCAATGTGGCTGCAATGACTATATTTACCGTAGTCGCCGTCACTACCATATACACCACCTCGGCCATCTACGAGAATCTGAATCTCCAAAAAGAGACTCCCAGAATCATGGATATGTTTACCCGCAACGAAGAAAACACATACGACGTAAGACGCAAAATGCACGAGATGAATTACCCTCCTGGGATACTATATGCACCGACCCCATGGCCACCCATCCGCCAACTCTCCCATCTTCAGGGCCGAGAAAAATTCTGGAATCGATTGATGCCATCGGAAAAATTCACATACACCATCATGGCGACGAATCTAGGAATCCATGCGCTGGGTAGTCTGGCTCCAGGATTATGGTTCAACATCTTCATGCATACACCTAGCATGAATAGAAATTTCACACTGCTCACTTGTGTATTCGGTCATGGGGGACTGGCCCATTTGGGTATGAATATGTATGGATTCCATTCTTTCATGCCGGCTCTGGGACAAGATCCCGCTTTCAAATCGAGTATTCCCCACATGACGGCTTTCTATCTCTCAAGCGGTGTGATGGGTAGCTGGGCACAAGCTCTTAGTGCAGGATTGAGACCGAATGTTGCGCCGGTACCGTTTCTGGGAGCGAGTGGTGCGATATTCGCGTTGATTGGTGCGTTTGCGATGCAACACCCAGAAGCCCAGTTTCAGATTCTGTTTATTCCGTATCCGTTTGCGGCGCAGGAGTTGTTGGGTGCGGCGATGTTGTTTGATTTAATGGGTGTTTGTGGTGCTTATAAAACTCTCAGATTGGGACACGCGGTAAGAATCAGTTGAGAATCTTTATATCACATGTGACTAATTTTGGATTGTTAGGCGCATTTGAGTGGTGCCTTGATGGGTTTGGGATACGTGTATTTTGATTGCGAGAGGAATGTTTGGAGACCACTTTGTAGAGGTGTTTATAAATGGTTTGGAATGAGAAAGTGGGAGAAGAAGATTGAGCGGTATGTTTAGATGAGGACAGAGTAGCCTTATATGGCTCCTGTGACCAGAGGCGATAAAGAAGAATCACGTGTGGAGATGAGAGACTCTCCGCTCAGGACTGGCCATTACTTGCGTCGGCGTTTAGGTATTGATGTTCCCCCATATAGTTAATCAATGGTATATTAGTGGACAAAGCATGGCTCCCAGCATCTGAAAGATTTCCAGAAAGTTGTCGGAAATGAGTTTGCATATGGTAGTGCAGGTAATTCAAATTGAGTAAATAGATTCATTCGATGTACTTAATGAAATTGGTATATAAAGTGCCTTGACATTCGTATCTGTGATAAAGTGTGATCATAATATTACCTCTCCTCGCCAACCCCTCCCCAGTGACAAAATCCCCATTGGCCCACAAAGCTCTTAGTGTCACACTATAACCAGGAAGCCACAGCACAAATCATAACTCTTTAAGAATAATATCACAACTGATCACTCACACTACCAGTCTCAATCTTCTCCTTCTCCTTTCCCTTAAAATGTCTCGTAGATGCCAATGCCCACTGACTCCCCGCACTATCTCGCAGCGCAACTCCCTTCACGCTACTAGCCCCTGTGATTTTTGAACTTTAAATTTGGATATGCGATTTTGGTGCGCCAGCGTGTTCAATATGTGCTTCCTCAGCCGTAGTCTTTGTAACATCTCTCTTCCTCAAATTCTCATTACCAACTTCGACATCAGGAATGGTAGTAGCAGCCTTTTCATTATTGATGTTAATATTAGTACCCGGGGCTCCTCGAATCGATCCAGTATTTGATTCCGCATCTGCTTTATGAGCCATTGCAGTAACTCCAAAAAGGTCGTCCATTTTTTCAAGCGAGAGACCTTTGGTTTCAGGAATCAGAAACCAGACGAAGAAAAACATGCTGAAGCAGAAGGTGCCGAAGATGAAGTAAGTTCCGTAGCCGGCGCGACCGACTGTTACTAACACTATTTCGGTGTCAGTTTGTTTCATGATGGTTTTTAGGGAATTTGGAGATAGCATGGAAGAACACAGAATGAAGGGGTAAGGTGAGAGAAAATACTCACTAGTAGGAACCGCCTTCGCAACCACAAAATTGAACAACCACTGTGTGGCCGCCGCAATCGCTACATTCAACGCTCTCAACCTCGCAGTCGGTATCTCACTAACAATAATCCAACAACAGGGTCCCCAACCGAATTGAAAGAACCCAGCAAACAGATAAATACAAGTCAAGGCAAAATATCCTACGGGGGGAATGACAGCACCCTTAATCGGAGGCTTAAATCGCACATAGAAACCAATAACAAACATAGCACATCCTTGTGCAATACTCGTCCAGAGCAGAGATTTTCTTCGTCCGAGAGAATCAGCAGCTAGGAGGAGAAAGGCAGCACAGGTTGCCATTTTTACAATTCCATAGATACCAGTGGCGAACAATCCGGATGTGGTGGTGTCAATGCCGAGATTCAAAAAGATCTTTGGGGCGTAGTAATTGATGGCGTTTGTGCCAGTCATTTGTTGACAGATCATTAGTCCGATTGATATTAATGCTCGGTTGCGATTTCCTTTTATTGTCCACATTTCTTTCATGAGATCAAGGAAACCAGCGCCGCCGATTAGTTGACGCTCGTTTTCGAGTTGTTCGGCCATCTAAGGTAGAGTTAGTGAGATTTGAATTAGCCGGGTGGTAGTATCGTACTTCTTCTAACTCCATGCGAACGTATGGATGATCCGGTGGAAGACTTGTTCGGGTCAGTAATGCTTCTAAGAGTTCATGAAAATAGCAATTAGCTTACTTAGAAACTAGTGATAAGACAGCAGTAGCCTTTTCCCAATTGTCTTGACGAGCCAACCATCGAGGAGATTCATGACAAAAAAAGATTCCTACGAATAGGAAAATTGCTGGCAACATTTGTAAAGCAAGTGAAACTAAGGAATGAAAAGTTAGTGTTCCGCTAGCCATAATTCTGGCTTGAAGGGGGGTAGCATTACCGATCCATGCTGTATCGCCTTTGAGATGCAATATGGCACCGTAGTTGACCCAAAAACTTAACATAGTCCCAGTAGCAATGAATAGTTGATACATTCCGGTGAGAGCACCTCTGATAGCTCTTGGCGCATTTTCACTGACCTGAAGGTAATCAATCGATTAGTTTGGATTCTCAGAAAGAGGAAGGGGAGTGGAACATACATAAAGTGGTGTAAGCATACTAGCAGCTCCAACACCTAGTCCTCCAACCAATCTACCGACATACAATGCTGAGCTATCAATCTTTAGCCACCGACCGAAATTTGTAAGTTAGTTCCACTCACATATGCCCATCTGATGCACATTGAATAATGACTCCTAGAATTGTTATACCGGCAGCACCGAGTAGCGCAGGCTTTAACTTATTAGTAAATTGATCCTTAGAAATTCCAGTAAAAGTCATTACCTTTCGACCCCATCGATCTGCAACGTAGTAAGAAGCTAATGATCCAAAGAAACAACCTGCTTGCAATGTACTGACAACTATTTATTTTCAGAATCAAATTTCAAACTCATGTTTCAAAACTCACTATTCGATGCAAGATTCGCTTGCGCAACACTACTAAGCGTGTCGATATGATATTTCCTATTTTCGTCAATAATTTACCCAGTGCAGTAAAGGAGTGTCAACATACTTGGTGAAAGCCGGCATAACAATAACACCTCCAATTGTACCAATATCTATGCCAATCAGTATCCTTTGTGTTCAAGCTTTCGAATCCTAATTTGAACGTACCCCAACCGAAGAGCATGCCACCAAAGCAGGCTGTGTAAAAGTCAGTGAATATTCTGCCATTGTATTCCCCTCTCGCATCTACAAATGTTTTACACATACCTGAACATGCCAAGAAGAAAACTCTCCACCCATAGATTTCCGGACTGTTCAGAGATTCTAATTAGTTGAGGGGGTTTTGCGCCGACGAATATATGCTCACGGGTCCCTATCGTGTAGAAGTTAGTACCAATTGTCAATTCTCAACTAGTTCAAGGTCTCTGCACATACGTTCTCATAGATTCATTCCTCACAATCTTCATCAAGAACCTTTGTCCAAGTCCGACCGCCATCTTGACGAGTCTATTCGTGTAATCTAAAATATGATTGAGCTGTTTGAACTAGAACATTTCTCATTGACAACAAAAAAAATCTAGTAAAATCTCGACGTGTCGATTCAATAAAAACGCGTCGGAAGAAAAAATCGAGCTTCTGCAGGAAAGTCGTACCTCTGGAGGTCTGCCATCACAAATGTGGTCGAATACAACCATCTAATATCATCCCATTTACCCCATACCCCATCATCCCAAAGGAGAAACGATTCTCCATTAGCAACCAAGACCGATATCTCCATAACTATCTTCCATCTTGGCCAACAATTGGCCAAGGGAGCCAAGTATATCCCCTCTTAACCTTAGAATCCCCACCCCCAGATTTCTGATACCCTAGTTAAATCGTCTACATTTTTACATGGGATAAATCCCACGTTCTCTTCATCCAACCAATATAATCTCTTATTGTAGGTTCTGCATGACCATATCTGGGGTTAATAACCGGCTGGGCGCATATATAATTCTCGCGTATCCGTGCGTTGTAATCCGTTTGCAGTTTGGTGTGTGGAGCCCCGCATACAAAGGGATGGATGATATTTTTGTGTTGAGCAGGGGGTGTGGCTTATAAGAATCTGGAAGGATATTTATCCAGCAATCCCAAACAAGAAGGAAGTTCGATTATAAGGGATTAGAGCTTGGCTTGGAGCGCCACACATCAAATGCCAAATCAGTCATTATGGGCAGATCGCTTGTAAGATGTGAATGTGGTTCACACGAGTTGAGTTGATAGATAAGGTTGTGCTATGCCACACTATTTTCTGACTGAGTCGAGTAGGCCTAGGCATACATGTCTTGGAAACAAATAAATACCTAGAATACCTCATCGTCTATAGAACCTACCGAATGATAACTCACTCAATCTCTCATCTCATTCATCAGCCACCCGGGAATGACAGGTTTATTTTTCCACCCATCAAGATAGTTCTTTGCTTCCCCAGATGGCTTAGCATATATACCAGTCACAAACCAAGCCACGGTTCCTTCCTTCAATGTGATCTGTAATGTAGGTATCACGGTACGACTCTCAACCAAATTGGAATTTGGATCGGCATTAACCAGCATCGCGGTGCGCCTACTTTCACCATCACTTTCGAGTGCAGCTATTCCAACCGCTCCTTTAGATACAGCGAATGCACCGACCGAGCCTGGAGAACTGCCTTCAGGTGTGTTTAGATCGTAATTCCCAATGATCTTGGGAAGTGTACCTTCATTTTTGACTGAGTCGTAAAGATCAAGGGAGCGACCATCCGATTTTCGTTCGTTATAAATTGCGAATGCGCCATCTGCCGTCATAACTTCTCTTCCAGCTTCTATCTTATGAACCCGAAGATGCCAATTTGGAGTCTCGTCGACGGGAGGTATGAGATAGGTCTTGATGATAACATCTGGGAACGGTTTCCAGATAGACTTTAACACTGATTGTTTATCGTGCGTCTCAATAATTGCTGTCTCGCAAATTCGGCGGGTTTTCCAAACATCACCTCCATCGTCAGACAAACCGAGTTGTGAAGCCAATGCAAATTGTTCCAGCGAAAAGCATCCCGTCGGTACAGAGTAACCATATGCGCTACTGTACGCAAAAGATCCATACTTTGCATGTGTTCCTCTCATAGGATATGAACATGCTTGACCCGACGAAAGTATCATCTTGTGACCTCCAAGGTAACTGATAATATGTCCAGGGTGTTTCAGAGCCTTGATGGCCGGGAGCAAGTTCGTTGGGTATGGTTCTTCTTCAGATGTCCAGAATGGGTGATCCTGAGGAACAGCCAAACAGATGAACGCCAAACATCCCCAATACGGACTTCCTGGTGAATTATAATTTTCCGACATGAACATGTTTGGAAAAGAATATCCCACGGTCAAGGTTCCAGTAGGACTCCAGATCTGATCTTGAGTTTGCCACCATCTGAGATTTCTCAAAAGCAACCCCTTGACAATACCCCATGTCAATGGCTCTGGTAATTCAACATCAGCATATACTAAGGCACCCCAAAATGAAGCCATAGCGAATCGGTATCCGACACTTCTTCCAAATGGTGTTGCTCTTCCTTCTTCATCGAAATAATGAATGAAGTCCAATGCATAATCTTGAGCTCGTTTCTTGAACTCGGCAGCCTTTTCTGGATCCTCATCGCCTGCCAACTTCGCATATAATAGTTGGAGGAACTGTATAGCAAAGCTTCCACTGTAGTAATCCTGTTGCCAGATCCCCTCCGGTCCATCATTTGACCATCCTGCTCCTCGGAAGAAAGAATTCAAATGAACGATATCTTGCTCGATCTTTTCTTGTGAAAATTTCCCTCCGTTCTTCTTCAATCCTAGATTTGCAAAGACTCGAAACCACAACCAATTTGTATTCGGCATGCTAGAACTGGTCAAAACTTTGCCTTGGCTCTCATCTTCATCAAAACTCACTTCTTACTATTGATTGAATTCCCCAACCACGTCTCCACATTCCCTCTCTCTTTCTCACTCAATTTCTCCCAAAATACCGGTGCAACAGCCAATGCAAATCCCAAAGGACACATCTCCACCATTCTTTGATCATTGTCTCTCGTCTCTCCCCAATATTCCTCGTTTTCTGGATCAGTACCTTTCTTCAACCCCTCAATCCACCATTCTGTCCCATCATATTCTCCTCCTCCAGCTAAAAGCGAACTCAATCCCCATAATGGTCGACAAAACCCTTCAATCTCAGCAGCACGCGCATCGAAACGGACGGCAGTGGAACCAGGGACACGGATCAAAGCTTTTTGCGGGGAGAAATGAGGTTTGAGGGGATCAAGAAGGGCTTTGAGGAGATTCTGAACGGACGTCCGATCATTGATGGAAATGAGAGAGAATGGATGTTTGGTGTTGTAGCCTAATGTTAATTGTTTTGGGGATTCCATAATGAAAGGTGTTGACGCGAACCTGCACTTGAGTACGCAGCGAGCCAAACTCAAGATATAAAATTAAAGGAAGAAGACAAGTACCTACATGATAACATTTAGATTATATGATGACATACTTACCTCGTGAGAATGATATGCCGACAGCAAATATCTCTATGGAGTTGTGGTGCATCGCGTTGAGTGGGACACGGTCGTCTGGGGATAAATTGAGGTGGGGGAAGTGCATGCAGGCTAAATTCAATCACTAAACGCACACCCTGTCTATCGACATCGACCTCGCCCCGCCTTAAATTACTTTGTAGAGTTGGATGGAGAGCTACCCAGCTTGTAAAGTTTGATATGTAACACTAGTAGAATTTTACATTGACAATATCTTGATGTAATCAAATCCTACAAGGGCCACGATTTGAACATCCAAGTCACAGCTTCCGAACATCTGTCTCTCCATACCGTCTGCTTGATGGTAGTTATGATGTCTCTCCTATCCTCTAATTCGCACGAATTCATCGGCAGTTTGTCGCAATACTTCTGCCGCCATCTCCCAATAAACTGAGTCCTCGGGGTTCGTACTTGGTGTTGATGGTTCCAGGAGGGCCACAGCATCTATGAGCTCCGTCAAATCATATTTTGTTGTTGCCTCCTTCTTGAGGACTGTAGCCTTCTCGTCGAGAGTATCAAAACCTATTGGTTCTTGTCTGATCTTAGAATTGTCAATTGTATCCGCGCCAATTGGCTTCTGCGTGATCTTTCGTCTCTTCGCCAACGGCTCTTCATAGGGCAGATCTACACAAGCCAAATCAGAATACACCTTATTCATCTTATGCTTCTGGATCGTCTTGGACTTGGAATTTCGTGTGGAAACTTCGTTTGAGGGTTTTATCTCCTTCTTGATCGTGTTCGGTGGACCTTGAGCTACGCGTTTGATTTTTGCCAATTCTTGAGGATGGGCAGATCGCTGGGCAGTGCCATCATAATTTAGAATGATCGATCTGTTAGCAGGAGAAGCAGAGAAGTGCTCTCTGACCACTCCTCTTTCGAATTCCTTCTGTTCATTCTAATTTTCTATATGTTAGCGAAAGCTATCTGTTGATGGTAAAGAATACCATACCTGAAATTTCAAAAACACCGTTTCTCTCTCTGATGGTTGCATATCATTCCAAGAACGCCATTCTTCAGACTCACGATGCTTGAGTGTGAAGTTGGGTGACAACTCTCTACGCGATCTGCAAAGATTCCGTAGTCCTTTCAAGGCGTACCGACGCCCCATGTTAGTAAGAGACTTCCAAGAATTGTGATAGAGGGGAAGCGGATAAGGAACAACGTCTGAACGATTGAGAAAGCCTAAGTAATACGGTCAGTGATGTATAGTCGAGGAATCGCGAGGAAGGTTCACTGAAATTACGATAGATGAAATTAAATTTGAGAAGATTTGAAGTATAGAACTTGTAGGAGGAGACCACAGATTCTTTAGTCGACATTCGATTTTGACCCAACCTTGAGATGTCAGATTAGAAAAGAAGCCTGAAGGAGTTGAGACCTTACCCAATAGAGTTCGTGATCCTTGTTCCTTGAAACTCGACTTGTCCACCTTCTCGGCATTCCACAAGCCTGTGGTGGTATCTCTCGGAAGGTAATTGTTTAGCGTTGAGGCAATTTTTCGACGATTAAGTATGACGAAAAAGCTTCCGAGATCGATAGGATTGGCGCCGACTATGTCAGTCTGACCCAACAGCTTTTCATCTATCTTGAGTTCCTTGAATACAAATGGAGCGCCGATGACATTTTTGCCGCAGTTACTCATGTTTACACAAGCGATTTCCATCCTCAGATCTTGTTTGGTGCATGAATGATCTGGGTTTGGGTCATTGAGAACTGCTAGACTGCAGTAAGTATTCTGCCCCTTGAAGTAAAGGTTTGCCTCAACTGCATCAAAGGGCTTGAACTGAAAACTAGTCTTCAAAGTGATCTGAATCTTGAACATTATTCCAGGATACGCGGTAGTGTAACGCTCAGCTTCCCTGTCGCCATGTATCTTTCGATCTCCTAGCATGACATACTCTTTGAAGGACTGACCTGTCACAGCGTTGACGATCTGAACCTCGTACTCATTACCATACTCTGTTAGGATAGCCATGATGAGGGTTGCGGTTTGTGATCCTTCGCTGTGTTGTTGATTGAAAGAAGGTCGAATACTGTTGTTAAGGATAGCAGAATTAGCTTAGCGTATCTCACTAGTACCCGGTAAAGTGAAAGTTGAAAGATTGAGGGGAATTAATAAAGAGACAGAAGTGAAGGCAAGAAAAAAATACAGTTGGTTTGAGGTTTACATGTTGTGATGTGGAAAGGTAAAAGAACACTTGTGTGATTTCTCTTCCCAAGATCTCATTCTCGTGCTTTGAACTTATGACAACTGCATGGATAAATCTCCACCAGTTTGGCTGTTGGACATTGACTTGCTTTTATTACTACTGCTATGCTATCTGACTTGACAGTCGAGAAATTAAGTTATGATAGGCTGAAAACAGCACAGAATCAACACAATCGTCTCTCATATCAGCAGCTATTTACATCATTACATTCCGAATTCCAGAAATATATTCCCGTTGTTCATAAACAACATACACAAAACAAAAGCCATCTACTCCGTCTTAATCCTCTTGGCCCTCGCCTCAGCCTCCTCTATCATTTTTGTGATTTCATCCATCTTTCGTTTCTTCTCCAACAACTCAATATCTCTCTGAAGATTTTCTTTCTCCTCCCTCAACTTTTGTAACTCTTTCAGTTCCTGCAAATCTTCATCCGCATTGACAGCAACTGGTTTTTTAGCTCGCGCGGGCTCAAAGTGTCTTAAGGTTTTGGGAACCTTGGTCTCGGAAACAAAAATAGCTTCCTCGTCGGAATCAAGTGATATGATATCGATTGGTTCTCTCTTGACGCGTGTGGCGGAAGCTTGAGAAATAGCTACCTGAGAATTCAGTCCATCAATCTGGTTGATCAAGCTATCTCGAATGCTTTCGAGCTTGACTTCGACTCCCGGAATCACTGTCTCCTTTCTGTGTGATGTGGTGATGTAGGAGTGAGTAGACTCTGTAACGGACTCATTTAGAATGACTATTGGTGACTCCATTGCCGGAATTGGTCTCGCAACTGACGGAGCTGCTACTCCCATGCTTTCTACCCTGTCTATCATTGTATACGGTAGCGGGTAAGATCCAATATCAATAGAAGGATCTGCTCTCATACCGTATGGCAGAGCGCTTACTGACTCTAGTCTATTTGCGCCGGATGGTGAGTTCGCGGGTGCTGGTGCTTCTCGTCCGATAGGTATCTGACTGGGCGAAGCTTTCTCTGGTACCGTTACTGATTCAGCAGAGTCATCTTCTCCACAAAATGACATGATATCGCCACCCATAGATATGTACTGAAAGTGTTTTTCGCCTCGTTCACGGGCTTTCCGTCGTTCCTGATCATATTTGTTAGCGCCATCTTGTCTGTATGCAAAGATTTGTAAATACCTGAAGAATTTCGAATGTTTCACGCTGCTCGGCACCATACATTTTATGCCACGCACGCCATTCTCGAGGAAGATTCTTTGTGAGAAGGGTTTTACGTCGGTTGACTTTAGATCCAAAGTTTTGCCCGACTTCGTTTCCCTTGATGGCCTTCCAATGAGCTTTTTCCAAATCTTGAAGTTGCTCAATTGCATTCTTTCTTTCTTCTTTCTTGAGGGCGTTCCAATCACCAAGATGTGGTAATGCTGGGTATTTGGCGATATTATTATCTTCAAAAAAATCTGGGCATTATGTCAGCGACAAAGTATCGATTTCCCCAGAACGCATAATTACCAGGGGATTGTGGAAAGAAATTAAAGCCCTTGATGCAATGAGTACATCGCCAATCTTTCCTAATGCGATCTGGCTTTTTAGGTAACGTAAGGTTTCGAGACGCAGTGGAGTTCTGAGACTCAGAACGAAGCCTAGCGCAATCCCTTTCCCAGCTTGTTATCGCTTCTTGGTACTCATCGTCAGATAATGTGCCTATGAAGCTCTCGAAAAAGATAATGTCAACTTGGAAAGCAGGAATTCTTTGTGGAAGTGTATCCACAGCTCCAGTCTTTTTGGATTGGGATTTATCTGTCAAAGTAAGCTTAGGATGATCATTGCGTTAGATTGTCTATTTACCTGTCTTCATCTCCAGATTCGCAAACACAAATTTTGAGCCTCGCGGTCGTCCATTAATCTCTACATTTGCATACCGAATTGTTTCGACAAGGTCTTTTTCGATTCTTGTATTATCAAGTCCATAGAGAGGTGGCTTAAATTCACCATAAGAAACTTCCTTGTTGTTCATGCACATCTTTGCTTGAATGAGATCGTATTTGCCAAAATCAAAGCCCTCCTTTAAGGTGACCTCAATATAGTACGCAGCTTTAGGCTCTGCCATGATATATCTTTCATTGTGTGAATTGGGAGACCCGCCACTGGGTTCGAGTTTGACATATTCATCATAATATTTGCCTTGGTGCCTTCTAACACGCACCTCGATCTCGCCCTCGATTCCAGCGATGATGGCAATGATGAGAGACACTCTGAGTGTGTAGAGACGTGTTCGTGATGCTTGAGGGGTTTATCGAAGACCGGGAGATATAATACTGGATACAGAAATATGCTGAGATCCCTTTAGTCTGGAAACTCGCAAAGAGCGAGAACTGATTGCAATGTATAAAATTAGCAAGAATATGAAGTGACTCTAAAATAATCCATCAATCAAAATAGGAACATACCCAATACTACCAGGAACAAATTCTATAAGGCAATTGCAAGAATCCCAAACTCATCAGCAAGGCTACGCCAATTGAAATTTGAAAGTGGAAAGAAAAGGTGAAGGTGAAGGTGAAGCGAAAGAGAAGGAGATTGAAGAGTCACGGGACTTGAAGTGAATGATCATGATGAATCCCGTCTAGCTAGGTAGTGTAATCACAATTTATTGTGTATTAGTAAAGAGATATCATATGTTCATTTATATTATACACTTCACTCGCTGGTGAAATAGCAAGACTGGGCCTCTGCAATACCGCTCATTAAGTACTCAGGTATAGAGAGCTGTAAATATCTGGGTATGCTATTAATGAAAAATGTAATGTTAAGTATATTGGAACCCTCCCCTAGAAAATTGCATCAAACCATCAATACTATCCATCTTCGACCCCAGATCAAATCCAATAACATGTTTTCATTGAGAAGTAGACCCATCATTCATTCCCTCCTGGAACGCTTCTTAGATCTCGCCGCATCAATTTTCTCCTGCAAATTATCTCGCTCCCGCTTCATCTGTTGAATCCTATCCTCATGCGCAATATCTTCCTCCAATTTCTTCACTGCAGCTTCTTTCTTACTTAAGTCCTCGTCCGAAAGGCCCGCTGTGATTCCATCAGACTTCGGAGCCGAGTTCAGGATGTAATCGTTGGCTTGAGGAACAGCATTACCCTGCTTATCCAGATCAGATTTCTCGTCTTTGATTACTTTAGCGTCTGGAATGTCATTGATTCGTGATCCATCATTGTCAAGCTCATTCTTCAGCTCATTCTTGTCGCCCCTGTCGTCATTTTCATCTAGAGAAATGATCCTACCCATCATGCTTTTATACTGACGCTGGATGATACCTCGCTGGCGATCCTTTTTATCTGTCTGTCATAGCAAGTCAGTACCCGTGCCTACAAAGCAAAAGACGGAGCGCAAGATACCTGAAGCTTAACAAATGCCTTTTGTTTCTCAGCAGCGTACATCTTGTCCCAATGACGCCATTCCCATGGATCATCCTCTGACTTGATCCTGCTACCAGCCATGGGGAGTATCAAGCCGGTCTCTTTCTCTCGATCTTCATGCCATTGCCTCTTGCTCAGTTCTTGCAACTCGGCTAAAGCGGTCTTTCTTTCGTTGTCATTCAAGATAGCCCATGAATAACAGTGAAGAGGAGGAGGATACTTGATGATGCCCGCCAGTTCTAGAAATTCTTTATGCCATGGCAGTCAGTAAGTCGCCGTACAATTTGAAGGGGATTGGCTAACCTGCAGCCCTGCAATGAAATTCAAATATCCCGGAGCAAGATCCGGTGGTATAACTTGTAATAACGCGTCCTGGTGGTTGAGGCTCTACCATACGTCTATTTTTGCACATAGAACCTCTTGATGAAATGTTCGGCTGCTTTTTTCCTCCAGAAAACCTAGATAAATTAGCTGGGTTTTGTTTTGAGAGCATCGAGAATGTAAATACCCGATAGCCGAGTTGATGCCACGCTTCTTATAACTATCAATGTCAACTTTTTCGGCGTCCCAGAGATTTCGATTGTTGGGCTGAATGACTGCAGGATCAATCACTCCGTCCTGGGGCTCGAGAGCGGACACATTGCGCTCAAATATTGCAAGAGCATGCTGGAACTCCAATACTGCCTTGTTGTGTTCATCATCAGATAGTGTGACAGTGTGTTTCTTGTATAGGTATAGCTTGACTGAAAATGTCACGAGACTATCCGGATGAATGCCCATGACATCTGTCTCGTCGGAAAGTGTTTCATCTATCACAAGAAGTTTTAGAAACTGATCAATCGCAAGAATTGAAACGTTACTGACCCATTTCGATACTTCTAAATGAGAATCTTGCTCCAAGCACCTTCTCTCCATCAACTTCTACATCAGCATACTGGATCTTCCGGACAATACTCTCCTTCAATTTTCTTGAGCCTTTCAGTTGCCAGAAACAGATACTAGAAATCTGTTTACCTGGATCAGAAAAATATAACTTAGCATCAATAGCGTCATATCCACCGAAATCAAAGCCTGGTTTCAATGTGATTTCGATGTAGTATAAGGTGTCCGGTTCTGCAATGATGTACCTCGTACGTATCACATCGGAGACCAGTTCTTTGCGTTCGGCTTTAATATATTCGTCGTAACATGTGTGGTCCGGGTATCTTTTGATTCGGACCTCGACCTCACCTTGGCTTGTATTCAAGATAGCCATTCTGAGCGATACTAGATATCTGCGCGTTTATGTTTTATAAGCCGAGAACTTAAGTATCGAAGAATGAAAGCTTCGCTGTGCCAAATAATGATATTCCGATTATCCAGATGGAGAGTTCAGGATATGCGGAAAGGTGGTTATCATAAGAATCAGTAAGGAGTAGAGAATTTGAATGAACGTCTTGGGATTGAGGAAAGAAAAACAAATAGTGGAGTGACTCTCACCTTCCATGATGTGAAACGTCCAAATATCATGCATACCCCGAGACAGCATCATGTTCCCACCAATTCCCTCTACACCCCCACACGTAAGCACATTTATCTCGAAGCTACGAGTCCGATTCTCTTTGTAAACCTCTCATCTACATGTCATCTCTAGAAGACACAAAAAATTTCGATGAACTACCGAGGCTCATACTTGTAGCAACAAAACTCTAGTTCTTACTATCTGTCTCCAATCTCTGTCTTCGAATCCCTGGACGATGAAATCCTTAGAAAGCAGAAAGATGTCCCAAGTTCTTCGGATCTCGCCCGTCTTCAGTATCGCTCCTACCTATTCTTCAAAGATACAACACTACTGCTGAGCTTATCTTTGATCAATAATGTGATTGACCATTTCCCTTAAAACATAAGACTTATCTTATCTTCCTTCAAACATTTCCACTCTGCAACATCGCTCCTAGGTGCTCCTCAATGATATAACACTGCTCAGCAGCTCAACATACTTTCAAACATCAGTAGAATCAACCATTTCCCTTCCAGTTCTACAAGTCTGAGGCATAATCACTAGATGAAGCCGAAGAGCCCACTATCTCCTCTGGATCGACTCCGATTGGGGGTATGAAGTGATCGATCGTTCCATAACAACTATTTCAAATACATCTCTACACCATCAAGTGGGAAGCGAGGCTAGAATGAGGGCATTCAGAGATTGATTGATCAAGTACACTAGCTATCTGGTAAGCACGAGGGTAAGAGCTCTGCAATACATATCGGAGCTTTCACTAATAGTCGGTTTTCGTTGTGGACAACTAATTCCTAGTTTTCAGTTGGGGAAAGCGATTATACCAGGCAAGAATATGAGTATCCAACTAAAATTGAAATATGAATTAGTCAATTAGCTTTCAAATTAAATGAATAATTCTTATATAACTAGCTCGGGTACTATACATAAATACCACTTCGTAATGTTATAGTTACATATCAACAACAACAGATTCCTGATAGTGAACTACCATTATTCTTAAAAACATACTAGAAAATATCCCCAGGATATTCGCTTTCCTAGAACAATGACTTCTCTGACTAGAAACTAGGTAGCTGACTCCTAATAAGAGCCGACTATTAATACTAATTAATACCAGCCCACGTTCCCCTACCCCAACACCATAAGGACCATACTAGGTATGTCTCAACACCCCTCATTCTTCACAACCAGAACCACACAATCCATTCCACTTCCTCAGCCTCCACCTATACGTACAAAACATTCCAAAATAAGCAGTCAAACATTCCACTATATCCGTTAAACTACTTTCACAAAATATACTCCAAAATTTCATTATGAATACTTATCATGTAACGTTCATATAATAGCAGAACCAAGCATTCCCCTCTCAACTTTACAACTTTACAACTTTGCAGCACCCTCACTCAGTGACGCCAGAAAAAACCCACTATCTCCTCTAGATCAGCTCGTATTGGAGGTGTACAATGACACGACCGTCATATCAAAGTAAGATTACATTATCAGATCATATTTACAACCCTAACCCAAGCGATTTGATTTTGCTTCCATAAACAAGCTTGATCTATATATCACCTCATTTTAGCATCTATGCGCGAAATGCGTAGCAACATATTCGCAGCATACCCGCACTAAATCAACAATCCCATACTCTTTCAATTATCTCCGAGTTCTCCTCAAGTTCTCCTCTAGCTATCCTCAAGTCATCCCTAAGCAATCCCCAAGTAGCCCCCAAGTTTCCCCCAAGTATTCTCCCTCAAAAACCTAACCTCACGATGCCCCAGCATATCTCCCCTCTCTCGCCCTGCAAAAAACAGAAAGCCCCTCCATTCCCCTCGACCCCCCCCCCCCCCCCCCCCCCCCCCCTTTGAGCCTTCAAGCCTCCAAATCCACAGCAAAACCCACAGACAACAATATAAATAAACACAACCCTGAGATAAGAAGATCTCTATTCCATTAAATCAATACACTTCTTCCCACCAATCCAATTACCCGTAATCTCGTCATCGGAAGCGAAGCGAAAGATGTTCTACCGTCCTATCGTCTTCCAACCCCCCTTAACACCTCCAGAATTCGCCAAGAAGAAGAGATTTGCACTTGCATTTCCTCACAGCCTCCCACCCACCACATCTCCTAACCTTCATTTTCACATCCCACACAAAGCAATTCACATAGCAGCAATTAACAAGAAAGAAAGTTATTATTAAGGTCTTCTTCGTCATCTTATTGTTATTAATTAAAACAATATAAGTATGTATACTTCTCCACACTCCACACTCCCACGCACTATCTCCTTCCCCATGATTCCACTTTCCCACTCTCCCACACAACACCACCCATCATTCATCCGTCTGGTCGCCCAGACACCAGATCAACTTTATTGCACAACGCGTATAAAAAGAAATCTCAAATCGGCAATCAAATCAACGAGTACCGATACTATTCACCACGCACGCTATGCAGAAACCAAGTAAGTAATTCTCTTGAACTCCTCCTCCATCCATCCATCCATCCATCCATCCCCCTATTCCTCATTTCCCCCCCTTCTCCCTTCCTTATTTTCCTCCCTCCCTCCCTCCCTCCCTCCATCCATCCATCCCACGCACATGAAGCCATTCCCCCACTACAATGTACTCATCCATACCAGTCAAGAAAATAAGGTACAAGGAATATCTTGACGTGAAAGAATCCTTCTTTGAAGTAGTACTAGACATTAAAAGGCCTTAATTCTCATATCACATCTCATCCCCATCTTAACCCCCATAATCTACATTCCTCCAACATCCACAATCTTATCAATCATCCAATTCAATCGGTTTTTGCGGGGACCCCTCGACTTCTGAATCTGCAGGCGGACTAACAATCATCGTTGGCGTAAGTAGTCTATCACCATCTTCCGACAACGGTGGCCCCGGTACCAATATCGTAGTTTCCTTCAACTTTTCTTCCTCGTTCGTTTCTTCTTCTGTCCCTGGGATAGCAGCTTCGGAAGTACTTGTAGCTTTTTGTCTACGTCTACGTCTTTCGTTTCTTTCCTCCTCTGCGTTATTTCTCCTTCTAGATCTTCTAGCACTATCCCTTCTGGCAGCATCTCCCTCTCCCTCATCAGCCCCATCAGCTCCTCTCATGCCTTGTAACAATTGCGCTGCTCTATCAGCGACGTCATCGGTTTCATTTTCGACTTCTCTTGGGGGTGGCAAGTCAGGGCTCAATAAACCTTCCGTGCTAACTGATTCAGGACTCTTAAGTCCCATTTCAGCTTCTGGTATCTCATCTGGATCAGGAATCTTTTGACCAGATGCAACTCGAACTTGATGACGATTTTGCAATCGTGCCCTTCGTCTTCGATCTCTTTGATCACGAGCTTGTGGTGCTGCAGCTCGCAATTTCTCCAGTAAGGAATCCATAGCACCCGTGGAACTTGGTGAAGGTGGTCCAGCAGATGTTGTGGCACCAACATTGATTTGTGCTCGCTTCCGTTTCATCGATTCCTCGTTTCGCTTTCGTGTGGCTTCCAAGATCATGTTCTTTTCTTTCGACTTCTTCCATTCAGTTACGAAAATTGCAAGCTTAGCGAAGAAATCTCTCCTTGCATTCTCATCAGCAGCATCTTCACCATAGAAGACCATAATATCATCATAAGTTCGAATCATCTCCTCTAAGAATAGTTGCATCTGTTCAGCCTTCCTTCTGGCATCCTTCATCGATCGTTGAACCACTTGACTAACACGATCTTGTGGATGAAATTTCTTTGGATCACTGAGATTACCCGAATCAAGTGACATTTGAACGTTTTTGATGTTGTCAATATATCGTCTGGCATCCTGTTGTAATTGCTCAACATTCAGCTTTTGTGCTGCAACAACCCCGCCGATATCATCAGTAAAACCTTCCCATTCTGAATATTGTGTTCGGACAATACGTTCAACGAGATCAGCGAAGGTCGATTCATTCTTGTCATCCTTAACCATTCCCAATCGTGCCAGGGAACTCAACTTAAAACCACTCGCTTGCTTGTTAGAATCATTCATGTAGTTACCAATGTCAAGAATCAAACCAAGGACATTCATCAATGATACCGAGTCTCGTAATGATTCGGATACTGCAACAACTTGTTTGAGCTTGTCAGAAATTTCGTCATATTCTTGTTCAAATGTACGAGTAAGCGAAAGTGCTCTGATTCTTGACTTCCAGTAGTGACGTAATTCGAAGGCCGTTTGTAGATAAATTTGATCTTCGCGCGTCAATTCGTTCGGGTCCGATTCGCGATTCTCCTTATTTGCATCAGGCCCAGTCCAGTCTTTACTATATGGTGCCATGAGCTTTGCCGTATTTTCTGGAATGTTACACATGTCATCTCTAATCAAAAAGTCCATCACAACAGGGTTATCTAAGACATCCTTGTCGCAATGGATAATCATCTGAACAATTTTTTCCGGGGCAAACGTAGAAAATTTTGCAAGAGAAATTTCTATGTTGTATTAGTTTGGATTAGAATAGATAGAGTAGGTTAAACTTACGGAAGGTCCTCATCAAATCGCTCGAGATGATCTGTTTCTTATCCGACTTGGCCTTGTTGCTCTTTCCAATTTGTTTGATTTCCTTTGCTAAGAACAACTTTTCAACTTCATCAAGGACACCTTTACGGGTAAGTTCGGCATATTTCTCTTCTTTCTCCGCTGCTGTAGGTGCATGAGCAGCCCAATGAGTGGTCATAGGAGTATCAACCTTCTCCCAGTGAATAACCTTGAGCTTCTTCTTTGATCTTGCAACACCCATACCAAGTGTTGGTGCAGCATTGTAGGCTGGTTGTGATAAAAATTGCCCACTCATTTTGCCAGGCATTCCAGGCGGAGGAGGTGGTGGAGGTGGTGGTGGTCCCCCCATACTAGGCATACCAGGCATACCAGGAGGAGGTGGAGGCGGAGGGGGAGGTGGCGGTCCACCGAATCCTGGTGCAGGTGGTGCATTCATACCTGGAGGAGGGGGGGGAGGTGGTGGAGGCGGTGGCCCATTGAATCCAGGAGGACCTTGCCCTGGCATACCTGAGGGGGGTGGTGGAGGAGGTGGAGGTGGACCATTGAAACCAGGAGGACCTTGTCCTGCCACTTGTGGTGGTCCATCGGTCCTTGAAGAATTCGGGCCATGAGGAGTCTTTGGCCCGTCGGATTCAAGACTTGGGTGTGAAGGTCCGGTAGTAATTCCATCATCCTCTTCATCATCGCTAGCATCATAACGCTTGACTTTAGAGCTCATCTCGTCCAAGTAGCCCTTCGATTGCTTTGGTCTTCTCACTTTGACAACACGAGGCTTTTCATAAACCATGCCTTCGTCATCTTCCTCCATATCAGAGACATCCGAGAATTCTTCCACGCCGATCGGCTTTCTAGGAATCTTGGCTGATCTCGTTACGTTTCCAAGAATGCTATGAGTGTAATCTCCCGGAGGAACTCCGAGACCACCATCTGGTCCATAATCTACACCATCCATTTCTTCACGAAGTGCTCTCAAACGATCAGAAGGACCGGCAGCGTCACCCCAGACTCTACCCTCAAGCTTATACTGTGTCTTTTGTCTCTCAATTTGCATCTCAAGACGATCCATAAGTCTTTCACGATCCAATATGCCTTTCATATGTGAAGGATCTGTCTCACCCAGACCGGCTCCACCCTTTGAAGCGTTAGATGCGGCGATATCTTGTGCATCACGAAGCATGAGGTATAATTCTCTAGTTTCGAGCTCATTTCTTTGAGCTTCCTTGGCACGAACTGTTTGAATATTTTCCATCTCACCCTTTAATGCGTCTATTTGCCTTCGCTGAACTTCAATGATTTGTGCTTGCTCGTCCAACTGTTTTTGCAATTTGCCTACAAGTCCATCTGCACCAAGCTCAATTCTAGCCCTCATTTCATCTCTTTCAGCCATAGCCGAATCGGCAATCTGGCGGGCTTCAAGTGCTTCATCTAGTGCTTGCCTAGCTTCAGAATCTGTGTGTAACTTATCCAAAAGACTCTGTACTGTGAAATTGAGACTTTGCTTCAAGTCCATGTCAGGAAGTCTCCTATCCATAGCGACATAACTGAGCATTGAATCCACAAGTTGAAACATTCTCAATCGTTCCTCACTGTCGCTATCCCTGATGAGTAGAAGATGTTGCATTGCAGAAACAAAGTAATCTTGAGTTCTACTGCCTTGAACTTTCTGCATGATAGCATCGACAATTTGAGCAGGGTCAGTAAGATCTTTGATTTCCCCTTCGATACTATCCTTCATACTACTATTCTCACGCTCGAGAAGATCCTCATAATCGATAGCTTCGTTCGTACGGAATCTTTCGATTTGCTTGTCGAGAACATCGTACTGGAAGCCTTCCATCTTCGTGAGAATTCGCTTGATACCGCATGCTGTGAATTGAGCTCTAATGTGAACACGGAGTTGTAAGTCCCTCTCAGGAGCATCAACTACCATGTTAATCAAGAACATAGTAGTCAAAGCATATTCCATGAGCAGATTCTCCATGCCAGCACCACCACTTCTAACTTCCTCACTAGCCCCCACAAGACTTCCCATTTTTCCACGTCCATCAACAGTGACTTCAACAACACGCATCCATGCATCGAACCGTCCATTTTCACCCTGTTGATTTTTCACATAGTCCATAGCCTGAATAACCTTCAAATGACCTTGCCCATCTGCCCAATGACACAAGAATGTTAAGACTTCACTGGCGACCCGCCTCGTTGGAATCCTGGGTGATACCAAGGAGGTAGCCAAAGCCACAATGACTTGTTGATGTTGTAAAGCATCATCGGCACCGAATTTGTTATTCATCAGAGCCTTCAGACATTTGCAAATGTCATATTCCCTATCCAAATCCTTGTCGCTGATCGATCCTTCGGGCCCAGTCGGTCCTTGAGCTTGTCGCCGGTTTATTTTTCCGAGTACATTGGTTAGAGCAACCTGGCCCTGGCATTCCACAAAGGTTTTCACCCAACCAATTGGTTGAGTTCGAAGGCTGACTGCTAGACTTTGTAATTGCTTCGCTGAAATGCTATTGTCCATAACCTTCCTCACGAACCATTCCGGAGTTCCCTCTTCCTCCGCATTCAAAAGCATTTCCATAGCAGAACCATATTGACCTGTTTGCCGAGCATTCGTTCGCCTTTTTTGTTCTCCTTGCCATTCAGTTAAGCGATCTTGATGTACTAAAGTCCACTTTTTCGCTGGAGTATAAGCCATCATCTGTCGGCGCGCTTGATCGGGTAAATTGTGCCATCCTCTTTTCTGCATCAGTGACAAAAATTGTTCTTCGATAACCCTATCGTCGTTGGGTTTGTTGAGTTTAAATCCATCCGGCGATGCGACTGGCGCACTATATCCTGCTGCGCTAAGATGTTGAGGTAGTTTTGTTATTCTTTGATCTCTTCCTGCTCCTGGCTGATATGATGGCGATAACGAACCATTCGAGTAAGAACCTGGCAAAGCCGTTTTCGCAGAACTTCCTGATGAGAGAACGCTAGATCTTTCCGTCATAGAATCTATGCTTTGCTGATCGAAAGAAATACGGCCACCATAATTCGAGGATTGATTAGTAGAATAAGAATCGTACCTTGAATTGTGACTTCCATTTACCGTGCTCGCGATACTCGTTCGATTAGGTCCCCAATGCTGTAATTGAGTTGTGCGATTGCCGGTCGATGACATGGTTACATTACTTCCCACCGGTGGAGGTCGAGGGCCCGTAGGATGTGAACTGCCATTGATAGATGCTGTATCTGAAGCGGGGTATTGATGAAAATCCATTCCATTCATATTCAGATGATGTGGGAGTGGTTCTCTCCTCAAAGGTACTTGATCGCTCCTAGGTAAATAATCCACTGGTATTGGCGACCGGCCATCTGCCATAACACTGTCATATGGAATCGAAGTAATCACACCAGCCATTGTATTGATTCCTGTCAAATCCGTAACAGGCGATCCGGGAGCATCTTCCGAGGCAACAGAAGACATTCTTGCATGCCTTGAAGATTGCGATCCTCTACCACTTGCTGCATCATTGTTTCCTGCACCCGCAGACGAGAGTTGTCGTCCTTCATCGCTGTTGTTCCTCTTCTCCTTCTTATTCCTCGAGAAGAATGAGGATTTGCCCGATGATGACATGATTGGTTGTCGTTATATCGCACTGTCTTCACACTTTCTTCTTGTCCCACTACTCCAAAGTCTTTTGTTGTAATCATCAATGTCTCTAGGGATTGTAAGCATTCACATCATGCTCTTTGCTAATTGTTCGAGGGTTGGTTAATCCAGGTTGAGAGTCGTTCCAATATTAGTATTATCCTGGCAGATCGCAAAGTCGCACTACCAGACCAATATAGTTAGCATGAATTTGTACTAAACTCTGCGACACTGACAGGATTATTTGCCTAATGTACAAGCTAACATCGCCCTGTTCATGAGGAAGCATGGGAGAAGGGAAAAGATTGGATGGATGTACTTGCCAGTTGAGATATGGAATTCTTTCCACGCACCACTTTTGAGATGGGGGGAAAAAAGTATGTGAATGCGTGAATCCTTTTGCGAGATCCTGAAAGAATCTGGAGAACCCAACAACTGCCCACACTTCTATCGCCAAAGTCTATCTTTCCCCCTGGTCAATTCTTCAGATTCGTATGGAAAGGCTGAAACTGACTTCCTTCCCTCGGTGTTGCTGTGAGCACATCAAACACTTTGCCCTTGACCCACAGACTACGGACGTTATGTATGGATGCCGATAGAAGCCCAATAAAATTTTCAAGGAAACGAATCCTGTGCGATTTAGCTGTGGAAGATGTCCTTTGTGTGTATTCTGTCTGTGCTGGACTGATTATTGGGATTTGAGTTGGGGTATCGACAACCACGACGACAATCCGAGTAATGGTCGCAAAGAAAGAAAGGAAGAAAGAAAGAAAGAAGGGAGAAAGAGCGAAAGAGAGAAGGATCGAAGAATTGACGAATCGAAGAGAAAGATATTGTATGTAGATACGTCAAAGGGAATGAAGGGAAAGGCAGCAAGCAAGCCAAATGAATGTTGTGTGAATGTTGTTGTGTTGTGTTGTGTTGTATTGTATTGTATTGTATGTATGATGTATGGATAGTAAACAAAACCCCCTTATTAAAGCAAAAGAGGTTTATTAGGAGGTTTAATTGTAAGATTATAATTGATGAGATTATGAGATTATGAGATTATGAGATACCTAGGTAGGTTGGACGGATTGCAGAGAAATGTTTAATCACATACCTAGAGATTAATATTCTGACCTATTACTCTGTACTCTTCACCTGTACCTAGTCCTGTCCTCTAGAGAACTATTGATTTCTTGTAGTATGACTATGAGACTACTAGGGACCGGTAGCTAAGGAACTGCGTGTGTGCTTGTGTCTTTTTGGGCGGTGGTGGGCTGGCCCGGACCGGAATATCGGACTGGAAGAAGATTGTTGGAAGGACGCGATAACGATAAGGAACCTCGGGAGGCTTTTACTAATAAAGATAAGATGGTAATTAGTGTCCGGTCCCGTTGAGATATAAGATATAACTGGATGGATATGAATGAATAGTTGAACCTTTAGATTCATTCTATTGTCTCTCGACTCTCTCTGATCTGGACTATTTATTTCATATTTTATATTCTGTAGTATGTAGTATGTAGTCTGCAGTCTGTACTCTTACTATTCATGGGGGCAAGCCCCCAAACCCCATAGCTCGCTGCCGCTCGAATATCCACCCAGTTTCTCTCTATGCATCTTTATCGATCTCCCTGAATCCTAGCGAATGGCGAATGAATATTGAGAATAAGCTGAACTCAATATCACCCCTATGGTTTGATGACAATTTAACAGCCTAACAAATATACCATTCGTTATTCATCAATCAATTCAATCACACACACTTCCAACCAAAGAAGCTGATTTGTTACTGTCATAGTGTAAACGGTATATAACCGCTACCTGCCATCTGAAAGAAAAGAAAGGAGAACCAACGGAATTCCTACTTGTCCGTTCGTTTACCCTCCGGTCCCCTTCTCGTGTTAGAACATTACGACAATTTCCATAGGGTTTAGTCCCTCTCTTTTTACGGATTGCCAAGTGCCAGCAACTTCTAACCTCTCAAGTTTCATTTCCGAATCGACTTCTCAAGTACTCAAGTACTCAAGCACCCAACCACCCAACCACCCCAAGTCAACTCACATCCATTGATCCGTCGTATGACGAACGCGTGGCAACCTCGCGCAGCCTTAAACGGGGGAACATCAGTGCCAGTTCCATATATACCCCATCCTGCACCTAATGCTGCTGGAAACGAAGATACTCCAACTACAAGTTCATCGTCCAATATGGGTTCCACTTGGTCGTTACTAAAGGTTATTAAATGAAAACTACCACGGGATTCTCTCCAATCCCAACTAACGTAAGCTAACATTGTTGTCGTCGCAGACTTTGATAGTGCCAGCAATCATTTCTCTCATTCTTTATCTTCTAATATCATTCGTCATTGTTCCGTTATGGAAAAGATACCGAGCGAGAGCTGGTCAATATCTACCATTAGATACCATCTCATCCCGAACAACAAGTTTACGACAACGAGTACAAGCCGCAGTGATTAGAACAATATTTCCCAGTTCATGGAGAGCGGATTTCAATCGCAATCGAATAAGTGCACAGGATAGTATTGATTTTGATGATGAAGATGGAGAGGAACTATTTGACGTGGATGATAATCGACGAGAAGCATTATCGCTAGATGCACGACGAGGCAGAGATGAAGATGGCAGAAGATTAAGTCGAGATTTGGAAGAAGGCTTCAAGGACGATAGCAGTGATGAAGAGGATGGAACGGATAGACGACTGAGTCGAGCAAATTCACGATGATAAATTTCCGGAAGATGGTTTGATGAGTTTCTATTACTCTACAATTATTGTTTATTCTATTGCTCGAGCAGATTCTCGCATTGCATATAACAACCAACTACCTTTCAACCAAGGAACATCCGCGACTGATGTAAAAAATAGAAAACCGATCCGGGGTATATATAACATCTGCCGCATATCTCTCTCATTCTCCGAATGAATCATTTACCATTGCTCCCTCTTCCCGCTCTCCTCATATTTCCGACAAAGTTCCTCAATATCCCTTCTCAACAATTCCCTCGACTCTTCCACCCTTTTCCCCACAGTCCGCACGGTCTCTCTACACATTTCCCCCCAAACCCCCGGGAAATGTATCTTCATCGCAGTCAACGCCCTTTGCTCCACCTCAGCCCGTTTCAACAACATCTCCACCTCACTCTTCAATTCTCCCTCCAACCCTCTACATCCCAAACACCTCTTCGGCATATCCGCCTCTCTCACACTCTTCGGCGCACTGCTGACTTCGCACGGTCGTATCAAATGTCCACACTCCGTATACACCATTTTCCGTCGACATTGTGGACAATTCTGATGAGGAGAATCGGTTTCCAACCAGCGCAATATGCAAGTAGACCCAAACACATGCGAACAGGGAAGTATATATGCGACTTCGATTTCTCTATCGCAATGAGAAGTGCCGATGTCTTCATTACATATTGAACAGCGTTGAGGAGGTGAGATTTCAGCAGCATCAGGATATGAGGCGAGGGATGACAAGTCACTAGATGCGGACTGTGGAGAAAACATCTTGGTGAATGAAATACCCATAAACATGAAGATGCTCGAGGGCGATAGAGTGGGAAAATGAGCAGTGGAAATCATAGAGAAGTTCTGCTGGATGTGTGCATGCCCATGCGTATACTAAGCTCTCAACTGAGATTAAGAAATGTGAAGACATGGAGGGGAAAGATCACATACGTTGCATAAAGAAGTAGAGAAATAGAATAGATCATCCGTCACATATAGGTAGTGAAAGATAATATTCTTGGAGGGTCAGAAGTCAGAAGTCAGATAGTCAGGTAATGATACAGTCATACTGGAGGCGCAGCGAGTGCACTTTTCCTGACTTGACTTGACTTGACATGACTTGATATGAGGAACAAAGAAAATTATAGCATGAATGAATGTATGGGTGAATGTACTAGGTAGGTAAGGTAGTCTTAGAATAACTCAACGAATATACAAGAAGAAAGATGGTTGGGTTGACATGTCCGGATGATCGGTTTGTGTGAATCATAATTCTGCTGATATGTTATATATATATATGTATATATGTAGATGGGTAGGGAAGAGGAAAAAGTGGTAGGGAAGGCTGGTAGGGGAAAGTGGTATGGTAGGGCTGATGGGGAGATGGGGAAAAGATGGAAAGTGGAGGAAAGTTTGCAATGAAACATTGTTGTTTGTATGATTGTATGTATGATTTATGTATGAGATATGAAATGAATAAGGTTAAGAGATGTGTGGATATGAGACGAATAGGAGATGGGATATAGATAGAAATAAGATGGATATGTGGGATATGGGATAGACCAGAATACTCCAAGAATCTCCTAATATAGGGCGAAAGAAGTATAGTTATAGTTATTTCTGGCAGGTGTTTGGTTCGTTGGTTAATTAGTTAATTAGTCACTTAGCTACCGGTAGTAATTTTTCAGTATTTCAATACACGTAACCTTAAGGTTGTATTTAGCTGCTGAATTTAAGGGATTTGAGAAGGGTGATGGAATTTAGATTGACTACCCAGTACCCAGCACTTATTAGTCGACGCAGCCGTGTGAGCGTTTAGGGGGGTTAGTGAGTACATAGTACATAGTACATACTTGGTCTCAAGAATAAATAAATGTACTCCTAATTATTTCACACCAAAATTAAATTTAATACTACTTTATCATTTTAATTAATATTTTGTATATTATTCATTTACTTCAACAATAACTTTACAATATACTAATATACTTTCAACTAATTCTCGAATTTGTTCTTCTATAATTATATTTTAAGCTTTTAATATTATATCTTTCAATTTATAATAAAAAGAATAAATTTGAGAATACTATTCTATAATATAATCCTTAATAATATCCTATAAAGCTTCAATTGGATTTAAATCCAAGCTTTTAATTAACTAATAAATCGGTTTAATATCTATTTTCTTAAACTTTGTAATTGTTGATTTTACATTATTATAACTTGAGGTATTATCTTATATATAAATA